AAACTAGGTCACAGGAGCTAAAAATAGAAAAACATTGTTAACAATCTAGTGGCTGCAGTTTTCATCCAAATATTCTGGAAATTTGTCAGAAAGGTTGTTTTGATAATTTCTAGGTGTATTTCGAAGATGTCCTGTCATCTCCGGTCAAAAACTAGGTCACAGGAGCTAAAAATAGAAAAAGCTTGTTAACATTCTAGCGTCTGCAGTTTTGATTAAAATATTCTGGAAATTTGTCAGGAAGGTTGTTTTGATGATTTCTAGGTCAAGTTTAAAGATTGGTCATGTCCGGTCAAAAACTAGGTTACAGGAGCAAAAAATAGAAAAATCTTTTTAACACTCTAGTGGCTGCAGTTTTAATCCAAATTGCCTGGAAATTGGTCAGGAAGGTTGTTTTGATGATTTCTAGGTCAAGTTTGAATATAGGTCGTCTCTGGTCAAGAATGAAGTCACATTGCCCAAATATGGAAAAACCTTTTTAACACACTAGAGGTCACATGTTTGACTCAGTTGTCATCAAACTTGGCCAGATTGCTTGTGTAAGACATTGCTTGGATGCGGTTGATGGGTCAGGGGAGCGATCCAGGGCAATCATGGCCCTCTTGGTTAAAATCCCACCAGGATATTACATGTCTGTTTACATGTTTGTAACTTTTCATTTTCTTCCCAGATGACATATATTAACACACATGTATATTTCCAAGATATTTGAGTTGAAAATGTAACCTCAAGAGTGTTCACAAGGTTTTTCCATATTTGGGCTTTAGGATCTAGTTTTTGATCCCAGATGACTGTCACATTGGCACTTGAGCTAGAAATCACATCCAAACAACTTTTCTGACAATACTTGGCTATTTTGACCCCAGGGCTTTAATTTGTACAAATTTGGTAGACACCCACTAGATGATGTTTCATGCTTAATATCTAAGCTCTAGCTATTTGGGTTTTTTAAAAGAAGATTTTTTAAGTCTTTACTTTATAAAAATTAGGAAAATCAATGACCCCTCCGGGTCGGGGACAAGTTTGACCCCAGGGCATTTTTTTGAAAAAATTTGGTAGACACTGACTAGATGATGCTTCATGCCAAATATTTAAGCTCTAGCTCTTTCGGTTTTCTAAAAGAAGATATTTTTTTCTTTTGGTTGCCATGGCAACCAGAGTTCTACTTGGAATTAAATTCTTTGAACAATTTTTAAAGTTGACTACCAAAGGAACATTCCTGTGAAGTTTCGATAAAATTTGCTTATTTGGATGATGGCCGGCCAGCCGGATGAAAAGCAATATACCACTTTGTGACAGGATTCGAGATGCCCCATGTTTGAACTTGACCCGAAGAATTCCTAGGGCAAACATTGTGACCAAGTTTGGTGACAATTGAAGCAACAAGAGCTGTCACAGGAGACAGCGAAGCTCGACTAATTAAATACTGGACGCAGTAAGGAGGACAAACTATGAAAGAAAAATCAATTATGTATAATTATGTATTAAGTTATAGTAAAAAAATAACATTTGTTAACATAAATTCCAAGAACAAGGGGAATAATTCTAGAAATAGTCACGCTAGAGTTATATATGAACCTTGTCACACAACATGTGTGTAATGATAAGAAATATGTATTTGAAGTTTGAAGTAGATACCTTAAAAAGTAAAGATTTAGTTATAATATTTCTTAAAGAAAATCCTAAGTTCAAAGAGAGATAAATCTGCAAATATTGCTTCAAGAGTTATGAACATTGTCACATAAAATGTAATTGATGATAAGGAATAAGTATTTGAAGTTTGAGGTAGATACTTTTAAAGCTAAAAAAGTTATAGTAAAAAATAACATTTTTCTAGTAAAAAAATCTAAGTTTACGGGGAAATAATTCTTGCAATATTGGTGCCAGAGTTAAGAACTTTGTCACATAAGATGTGGATGATGATAAGGTACATATATTTGAAGTATGAAGTTGATCCCTTTAGAAATAAATAAGTAACAGTAAAAAAAAAATATTTTTTAAGGAAAATTCTAAGTTCAAGTGGAAATAAATCTGAAAATTTTGGTGCTAGAGTTATGAACCTTGTCACAAAAGATGGGGATGATGATAAAGTACATATATTTGAAGTATGAGGTTGATCCCTTACGAAATAAAGAAGTAACAGTAAACAAGAGGGCCATGATGGCCCTGAGGTCACTCACTTGTATATAGGCCCTCAGAGCGGGGCCAGTTTAAACCCCAGGGCTTTTATTTGAACAAGCTTGGAAGACACCCATTAGAAGATGTTTCATGATGTTAAGTTTTTACTACACACATATAATGAAAAACAATGACAAAACAAGGGCCAATTTTAACCCAAGGGCTTTTATTTGAACAAGCTTGGTAGACACTCATAAGAAGATGTTTCATGCTAAACATCTATGCTCTAACTCATTGGAAGATTTTTTAAGTTTTTACTATACACATATAGTTAAAAACAATGACACCCCTCGGGCGGGGCCAGTTTTGACCCCAGGGCTTTTTTTGAACAAACTTTGTAGACACTTACTAGAAGATGTTTCATGCTTAATATATAAACTCTAGCACTTTGGGTTTTTTCAAAGAAGATTTTTAAATTTTTGCTATACACAAATCAGGAAAATCAATGACCCCCGGGGCGGGGCCAATTTTGACCCCAGGGCTTTTATTTGAACAAACTTTGTAGACACTCACTAGAAGATGTTTTATGCTTAATATCTAAACTCTAGCTATTTGGGTTTTTTCAAAGAAGATTTTTAAAGTTTTTTGCTATACTCATATAAGGAAAATCAATGACCCCCGGGGCGGGGCCAATTTGACCCCAGGGCTTTTATTTGAACAAACTTTGTAGACTCTCACTAGAAGATGTTTTATGCTTAATAACTAAACTCTAGCTATTTGGGTTTTTTCAAATAAGATTTTTTAAGTTTTTGCTATACACATTTAAGGAAAATCAACCGTTGCCATCCGCAAACTTGTATGTGGATCATAACTTTTTTAGTTCTTGGTGTATTGTCTCATACTTGGCCACAACAACCCTTTGGGCAAGACCTTTCAGTAGACCACACTAACCTTGATCTTCATCCATAAATGACCTTGACCTTTAAGGTCAAACGTCCAAATTTTGCTTGTTCTTGCTATTATTGGCTGTAACTTTGTTATTTTTGAATGGATTGTCTCAATCATCATCAAACTTTGTCAGGATGCTTGTCTAGGTAATAGCTCGGATGAGATCGAACATGGGTCAGTAATTTTTAAAATTCCACCAGGATATCACATGTATGTATACATGTGGAACACTTATGCAAGGGAGCTTAGTTTTTCAACATTTCATCTTCATCCCAGATGACAAATAATAGAGCACTTATGCAAGGGAGCTTAGTTTTTAACATCTCATCTTCATCCCAGATGACATATAATAACACACGTGTTTCCAAGATATTTGAGCTGAATATGTAACCAATGTAGTGTTCACAAGGTTTTTCCATATTTGGGCTTTAGGATCTAGTTTTTGATCTCATATGACTGACATTAGCACTTAAGCTAGAAATCATCCAAACAACTTTTCTGACAATACTTGGCAACAGATCTTAGCTTTCATTAAACTCTACCATCCCATTTAAAGCATCAACAAAACATACATGTTTTTAGAATAATTAGGCGTAAATAATGAAACCTCTAGAATGTTTACAAGGTTATTTCATATTTGGTGTGTGTGACATGGTTTTTGATCCCTAGATGACCCATATTCAAACTTGCGCTAGAAATCATCAAAACAACCTTTCTGACCAATTTCAAGAATATTTTGACGAAAATGGTAGGCTATTATAAGTGCCAAAACAAGGTTGTTCTATATTTTGGCATTATGTATCAAAGACTCGTCTTGAGTTGCCATCAAAAAGTAGAACTTTTCAGCATTCGGATATTGATAAAAATACAATGGTATATAAACTGAACGTAGATCTGCATATAAAGAACACACGATAAGAAAGTGATATTCGTCCTCTAACATTGATTCACAATACCTACAATCACGATGTTCTCTATCAATATTAAAATGTCTACCCTTTTCAACCTGATTAAACAATGTGATGAGCTTCTAAAACTAGCAAAGCACTTTCTATACATGTCAATATCTATAACAGAAATATATTTTAAACATAATATTATGATTTAATTTTACATTGTCTAGACACTTTAATTACCAAATTTGCATAAACTGGTCTTTAAGACACTGTTCATATTGCACTATAAATAATTTACGATTGGCTTCAACCTGTCCCTCCCATACGAATCCAAATCAATTTTTACACAGGTTTAATCGTACATCAGTCACACAATTTTTGTATCCGATACTGTCATAATACATCAACATTTCATAACAGGGGACTTCAGAGGACCTGGCTAGAAATCATTAAAAAAAACTTTCTAAAAATTTCCAGGATATTTGGACTAGAACAGTAAGCCACTAGATTGTTAACAAGATTTTTCTATACATGGCTTCCCTGATCTAGTTTTTCATCAGAGATGACCCATGTTTGAACTTACACAAGGCAATTCCTTGGAAATCATTGTGACCAAGTTTGGTGATTATTGAAACAAACAAGAGCCTATACAATAATTACTTTAGATAAGAGTTATGGTTCTTGTACTCTGCACTTCCTCTTATTGTGCTTGACCATTGTATGAAGTTGTTTTGAATTCCAACCAGTTTTTTTTCTTTATGCTACGGACAAAGAAAAGTATCAAAGGGCAATAACTCTGTAATAAGTCAAGATAGAGTTATGGTTCTTGTGCACTGCACTTCCTCTCAATGTCCTTGGCCATTGTATGAGGTTGTATTGAATTCCAACCATTAGTTTCCAAGTTATGTTCCGGTCAAGGAAAATGCAATGGACCTCTGGACCAACCGACCGATCACCGGGTGATTCCTATATACCCCCCTTAACTTTGTTTCGGGGGTATAATTACATAAAATTTGTCTAATTAACAACTCGAACACACAATCATTTTCAAAGAGTTTTATTTATTTTTATTTCGGGATTTTTACTTTTATCATCATAAAAATAATCTTTCAAATGTACATTTTACCAAAATGCTGTATGTATTAATATATTTCTCTTTCGTGATCTAGATATTTAATAAAATAATGTGTACTTTAATAAATTACAAATCATCACTTAATGTGGGAAATAAAAAAGATTCTTGCACAGTCAAAAATTACCTGTTCGAATAAAAACATAATTAAACATAGTTTTAAGTGACCACTTCAAATTTGTGTTTTACAAAATCACACATACATAAAGAGGGGTCAATAAAAACAAAAATTAATATGTTTATTCATAGGACAAATATCTTCTAACTTTTATACTTTTTTCAGACATGAAACGATCCTTTCAAACCAAATAACCTTTCCTTTTTTTATAATAGTAAGAACGTAAACAGAAATACATTAACACAAATCAGCATGACGTTATTAAAAATATTGCATGTACACAAAGGATAGACAATTCATTCACGCTTATAGGTCAACACATACGTAGGTACATTCCTTATGAGCAATATCTGTTGCTATGATACTGTTATTAAAGAAACTTGTTTATTAAAAAAAAAAAGACAACGTAACAAAATCATTTTCTTGAACAATCCTGTTTTGTTAGTATGAATCATAATGCTAAAGTAGATATTTAAGAGATTTAAATGTCTTACAATAACATGTACCTAGTTAATGTACCTAGTTAATGTACCTAGTTAATGTACCTAGTTACAGCAAGTATTTTACAGTGACTATCAAACCTTGTAAACAATTAAGTTATCAGTAAATAAAAACTTTAACTTTTTGAAAAAGATTCAAAATACACAATAATGCTGTTATGTTAAGCTCCTCTCTAAATTTATTCATTTTGTACTCGAGGCATTTTGTGCAAATCGGTGAATTACCTTTTTGTAACTTTCTTATTATTCACATACATGTTATTTAAATATTTCAATTTCCTAATTAATCTATAAGAGAGGAACATACAAGTAAAGAGAAAATATATGAGTTCTAACATCTTAAATACGAATAGAATGTCTTGCCTTGTTATTGAACGCTAAGAATATTTTTCTTAATCGGCACTTTGTCTGATACTTGCAGGTTATTGTGTTTCCTAACCCGTTTTTAGCTAAAAATCAACTATACTCTTTTAAACGTGACATTCCTAAACAAAATGATGAAGATAAAAACTTACAGAGTGTAGATTCAGCTTCTTGTATAACTTGACAGAAAAAAAATATCTTCAAAAATAAAAGACGGCTCTAAAAATTAAGAAAAAAAGTTTTAAGGAAAGTGAAAAGTGCTTGTTTAAAAAATAAGGATGAAAGACATTTGAACCGCGCCATGACAAAACCAACATAATGGGTTTGCCACCAGCATGGATCCAGACCAGCCTGATCAGGATCCATGCTGTTCGCTTACAAACCCTATAACAAATAGAGAAACTGATAGCAAAAACAGCATGGATCCTGATCAGACTGCGCCGCAGGCTGGTCTGGATCCATGCTGGTCGCAACCCATTATGTTGGTTTTGTCATGGCGCGGCTCAAATTTATCTCAATGCAACAGTTATGATACAATTATGTTGTTATACGCTCTCTTTTCTTCCTGAGTTTAAACAGATGCTGTGAACAGTTATGAATAATAACATGATTTAACACTGGATCAATCCAATCAACATGTAAACAATTTCATTATAATATTTATCCATAATTCATTCCAATTCTTAACATAATTTATATATTGGTGATTGTAACACTAACAGATGACATAATTGAATATTACTTAAAATGATATGTTAACTAACAAAAAATCGTTCTTTAAAATTTGAATCTGACGTTTTTACATAAAGTTTCTTAAAAAATGTTTTCCATGAAAAAAATGAATGGGGTGTTAAAATTTGAAAAATCACAGTAAAAATACAGCGGCAGTTTTCCACATATTACTGGAAGACTACCATTGACACAACAGTACCATTATTTCAACAATCTACAAATACCATGATCAAAATAACAATTTGTCCAGATTATCTTAAGACAAAAAAAGGAAGGAAAAAGTTTCCAATCATGATCAGTTTTGACCACTGTTACAACATCAGCACTATATAATTACCTGTAATATTACCCTTTCACATTACAACCTTCAGGTTTATGTCTGTTCACCATATTGATCCAAAAAATCACGTATAAATGAGCCGCGTCACGACAAAACCAACGTAGTGCATTTGCGACCAGCATGGATCAAGATCAGCCTGCGCATCCGCGCAGTCTGATCAGGATCCACGCTGTTCGGTATCAGCTTCTCTACTTGTTATAGCATTTGTAAGCGAATAGCATGGATCCTGATCAGACGGCACGGATGCACAGGCTAGTCTGGATCCATGCTGGTCGCAAACGCACTATGTTGGGTTTTGTCGTGACGCGGCTCAAATATCTATTGAATATCTAAATGCCTCTGATCAAATTGATTTCCTCAAGATTGTTCACAGAAAATTCATTTAAATCAGAACATGAAATTCCCATACAACTTATTAATAGAAGACTTAAGCATTTTCTCAGCCTTGTATGCTTTCTAAAAATGCCATCTTATAATCACAAAATAATATCTTTAGATTACAACATATAATTCCCTTGTAGATATGATCAAAACATGATTTCTACTGATCAAAATGATCACAACATACCACACAGCCACTAGTTACATGATCTTGACATATCTTCTAATCAAAAATGATCACAACATGTTACCCAGCCATTAATTAAATGATCTTAACATATCTCCTGATCAAAAATGATCACAACATGCTCCCTCATTATCAAAACATAACACCATATTATTTTTAAAATGATCATATCATAACACCCATCAATAAAATGATCACAAAATATCTTATGATCAATAATGATCACAAAATATCTTATGATCACAACATATCAACAATGATCACATCATAACATGCAGTCTCCTGATCAAAACATGATCACAAAATATTCTACCTTTGTTTACATAATAAGTCCAGCCTTTCTTTCTCTTTCACACTTTCAAGATAACAAATTTGGTACGTATTATTGCACTTCAAACTTTTTTTCAACAAGTAACACTTAACAATGGCATATTATTAGTGCAAAACAAAAAAAAAACTTGAAATTGACAGTGTTGTATAAATAAAGCAAAAATCCTCAATCAAAACTGAATATTTCTGTTTTCCTGTACGGTACTTTAAGGTAGAATTCAATGACTGTGACAAAATAATATGTTTCTGAATTCTTACAATTTTCTACATGTGTAAAAAAGTAACAAGTGTTATTGTTTTGTTTCAAAAAATCTATATACTATGAAATACTTTTCCTTTATTTTTTTTGTTATCACAATTTTTTTATTCTTATAAAAATAAAAAAAAAATACTTGGAACACATATAAAAGTGTTCACATTTTAATTTTGTCTGTAAAAAAACCCATAAAACAAAAAGTAATAAACACTCACGGTTAAGTAGAACAAACAATTATATGATTATGCAAAAACATAACAGACTAGCACATATCTAAAACAATTCATAGCTTATGTTGAATTCACAACACAGTAACATTTTTTTTTTCATTTACTTTCAGGTGAGTTATTTCATTGAAACGGTCAGCCTATTAAAGAACTCTGGTCATCAGTCTAATCACGACATTAAAACGATATAGCCTCACCTGGTGTAAAAATCCTATATTCAACATGATATCTGTGCTTCTTATTGAAAGACTATTAAATCAGTGAGATATGAAATATATCTTTCACTGACATTCATTAATTAAAATATCTTTATATTTTTCATTCATGGGCATAAAATGAAATAGCAGTCTTTTTTATTTTGATTTTCACAGACATGGAAACATATTTTAAAACTATAGAGTGAAATGTTAAATGTTCTTTTTTTAAAGATATTTCAACAACCCTCATGAAAACCAATAAAACTGTCTGACTTCTATGAGCAAAAAAAGACTGAATATAACCTGAATATAACAATAAAATAACAACATGTATTAACTAATATTATTCATCATGCCAAATCCTTTAAGTTTTGCTTCTTACTTTTTTTGGCAATCTTGTTTTTGAATATGAAAGAAAGTACCTAAGAAAACGTATGAAAACAAAACCCTCACAACATTTTGGCTAGTATCTACCGTAATAATTTTGTTAAAATATGATAACTCCACACTTTGTCGTGTTAACTTTTGGCTAACTTAAGTATATTACTGACTTAAAACACAAAATGTAGTGTCATCTATGTATTAAATAATACAACATAATATAAAGTTAAATTTTATAAGTCTCTTCACTTTTAAAAGAGTACTTAATGATGGATAAACCTTGGCTGTATGTTGACTGTTGAAATAACGAATAATTAGCTGTGTCATGACAAAATCAACATAATGCGTTTGCGACCAGCATGGATCCAGACCAGCCTGCACATTTGCGAAATCTGATCAGGATCTATGCTGTTCGCTTACAAACCCTATTACAAGCATAGAAACTGATAGCGAACATTATGGATCCTAAAAGACTGCACAGAGGCGCAGGCTGGTCTGGATCCATGTTGGTTGCAAACGCACTATGTTGGTTTTGTCATGACACAGCTCAATTATTTTTATTATAAAATGTGTCCATTAACTAATAAAAATAATGATTACAATATGTATACATGAGCATGATTTATTGGAATGTTACAGCAGTATCCTATTTCTAACCGTCTCAACTCTCCCAATTATGCAACAACATCACCACGGTAATTGACTTTCAGAATATTAAATCAATACCTATAGTTATATTTCACAGCTGACTATTGTGTCATGAAAGAAATAAAGCATTTCACCTTTCAATTATCTCATAATTTTTCACATTTTAAAAACGTATTTGAAAAACAAAAACAAACATTCCTGTAAGTCTTCTGTTACTTGTACTATAAAAAATACATGAAGGATTTTCACTCATACAATGAAAAAAGGTTTCACAACCATGTGTTAACATATTCACAAACATTCATTCAAATATTAAAATATATGCACATATATTATAACATTAGGCAGCTTGTAGGATCAGATCATGAAAACAACACCCTGATTTTACACTCACATGCCTAATATATGTGCTGAATACATTGTCTTGATCATTTCATCACCGTCATCTACTAACCTGACCACCAATAGCAACAAATATGGCTTACCTATAACATCAGCATACAGACAGACTGTCATTAATTTTAGTGCAGATTGACCACCCTATTCTGATCAATGCTTCACTTTGTAATCTTGATATTGAAATCCCTTCATTTAACGATGGCTTAATTCATGTTTGTGTTATGAAAACTGACAGAATATTCAACACATATTTCAGAAATGCAAGTCAATAAGGTTTCAACTTAAAAAACAGTTTTGGTTTCAAAATAAATTTCATTTCATTTGTTATTGTCAACAAAAAAATAAAAATAAAGAGAAAAATAACTTTTAATACTATATACATAGATTCAGCATGCACGTATGTACATATAATGTACAATTTTATACCACAAAAATAAATTAACTAGTAATTTACAAAGTTAAAAATAATGTGACGTATGAAAATAAATCATGATGTGGGTATCAGCGGGCAGTCAAAATCATTACCCGAAAATGAAATGAAACGTTCAAATTCATTGAGCAGAAAAATGACATAACAAAACTGGTGTTAACATCCAGCAAGAACACTTGTTCCTCTGGCCTTCCCTTCTTTAAGCCAAGTTTGTAATTAGGTCATCATTTAAATGCTTTTTTTTTCAAAATATTTCATACCTTTAACATTGTACTCTGAAGACCTCTTAAACAAGTTTATACTGCAAGTTCAAATACAACAGAAAAGACTTTTGATTTTTTGTTGTTTACACCTTGTACTCCAGTAGCGTTGCAAGGCAGAATATCCTTTGAAGCCACGGAAAAAAACCCAACAAATCCTTGTATCTTGTGGATAAGTGGAGCTGCCTTTCACATAATCACAAATCTCACTGTGTTATTATAACAACATTTCTTACAACTGTTACACTTACAAATACTATACTTTATATAGTCAGGTGTAAAACTGACAATGTTTAACAGTTTTATACTTAATAGTCAACAATACAGGCAAATTAAAATAACAAAATGCCCACAGTCATTTAAAGCATACTAGGTAAAGAGTTATATATGTCATATTAGTATCATAGTACGCTTCGTAACGTAACCAGATTATTTCAATATCTTTCCTGTTTCACTGGCAGAATGTGTCATCACATAATTAGGAAATTCCGCTGGTGTGTGCACTATTAAGAATATCTCCGAATGAATTCTCAAAGCACTGTTTAAGCTCTGCGTAGCTCACCACTAGGATATTTTGTTCGTCCCTCGACATCAGACTAATTTTCTCGGGAGAACCAGCATCCAACTAAAATATAAGGGAGATAATCTAACTACCAACATATAATTTCATACACATAATTGGTCACATATAAGAGATAGTACAAGTCAAAACTGTTTACAATTTACATTTGCTTAGAAAATGTATGCAAGGGAGACAAATCTTGGAAATCAATCTAAAATACAGAAGTAGAAACAACTGAATATTTTAAAACTTAAAAAATTGGTTGATAAATATCAGCATGTTTTCTCTTAGTTCAATTTTTGTAGCAACTTCCCAATAAATTTTCAATACACAAAAACGAGAATTGCAATTTCAGATTCAGTCAATATAAAATAATAAATAAATGCAATTCGGGACCTGATAACCATAAAATTCTTTCACAGTGTATGTCATGGGCAACCATATTTTATATCACAGAAAAAATATCAAACCTTATTCAAGCACATAACAATATGTGACATATCGACCCAAGGTGCCCCATTTTCGTCCACCTGATGAAACACGTAGTCTCGGAACAACTTCAGCATGTACCGATCTCCAGTCTCTGACCATTGTGGGTCCAAATTAAACCTTGAATAAACATCGATAAATTATAGAATGTTTTATCAATTTTATCAAAATTATTTTAACTTTAAAATCAGAATAAATAAAAGCAATTATAAAATTGTCCAAATTAAACCTTGAAGAAACATCAATCAATTTAAGTAGGTTTCATTAAATTCACAAACAATTCTTTAACTTTAAAATTAGAATAAAGAAAAGCAATTATACAATCGTCTAAATTGAACCTTGAAGAAACATCAATCAATTTATTATGTTTTATTAACTTTGACAAAAAAATAATTTAACTTTAAAATTAAATTAAAGGAAAGCAATTATAAAATGAAAATGTAATTCAATGTGTTCATTCCGTTGCTGTTGCTTTTTCATAATTTTTCAAACATGTGATGAAATATACTTACTCTGGTCTCTCATTGATTACTCCAAGTTTACACAATAATCTGAACAAACGGCCGTTCTCTACCTCCTGAAATAAATACACTTGAAATTTAAAATATACCTATATTTGTAAAGTAAAAGAAATATACAATAAAATTAACATGATATAAATGTTAACTAAAAATATTTGACAGTACCATCTTCAATACCCTCATTCAATTCCCCAAGAAGAAATTAAATGATTTTCTTCAAAACAACAAAATCCTTTTACCGAAACTTATTCTTAAACATGAAATAAGAATACATTGGTCTTAATAAAATTGACTACTGTACAATAATTATCTCATCATAATGTGGCACATGTTTGACAATAAAAACACTCTAATATCTCTATAACAGCTATAATTATGTAATGTAATCTTGTTTCTTACTTTAGCCAATTCTGTCTCAATAACATCACTGCGAAGCTGCGCAGAGTCCAACTGTGTGTAGAATCTTGCCCCAATCATTGGCATAATATCATTGATGCTACGAGGACGGTTTTGGTTACCAAGCAAGTACCTAAATAACAGGGAGAAAAAGAAATTTATAATGTCATAAACAATTGAAGAAAGTAAGCAAATTAAAATTCAAAATATTCCTTCCGGAATATAACTGTATTTTGTACAAGTGTCAACTAAATTTTTGCAACCATTCAAATTATAAGGATGCCTTTTATAGACAAGTGCATTTATAAAACCACTTCCAAGCAACAGTACCAAATGAAATATAGCAATTTCTATGTATTTGAGGCTATAGAATTGAACCATTTAGCCAGAAAGATTTGTACACATAAGTGAAGAGAAACACAAAACTGGAAAGAAAACACATACAAAAGCACCACATGCAGTGTTAAAGCTTGTCTGTTAAAATAACAACTTTTGATAGAAATGTTTGGTTACAAAAGGGGCATAACTCCAAAAACATAGCTTTCAGAAGTAAACCCCTTAATTGAAAATATACTCTTGTCATTATTAGTTCAAACTGATACCTTTTAAATTTTTTAAATAATGGCCTACATTAAAGTTTTTGCATGACGATGACACTGCAGCGATCATTATAGCTTGACTAATTCTTTGACACAGACAAGCTAATAACATGACCTAATTGTTACATAATTAAAGAACAGTAATATACATACAGTATGAGATTTTTGAGATCAGCGGAGTAATTCCTGGCAACCAGTTCCATTGATGTCTGGAGATTATCTCGCTGTATGGCCATCACACTATTACATGCCAGAGCCAAAACAACTTTACCCAGAGATATCAAATCTTCCTGCTGCAAAAATAGGAAAATGTGAATCACTCTTAATTTATACCTTATTCAACAAAGGATTTTGCAGGTGTCTTGGTAATAAAATAAAATAGCGTTATCAGAGCCAAGATGGATTTAAATTGCTTTCACAGTTATTATTTAAAGGAGATATATTCCAATCTCCATACATGTTCATCCAAGTATGTTACAGTAAAAGATTAAGAAAATCCATTCATTGATTCATGAGAAAAATGGCTTGATTTTTTGTTTCTATTTTCTTACATGTCAGAAAATCTTATTATTTTCTTTACATCTGAAAAGAGCTATGGTAGTGAAAGGGAGACAATCTTGGACAGTTCCTGTCAAAGACTTGAGAAGAAAGACTACTGTGTATAACAAAGTTTGGTGATCAAAAAAATGATTATTTCCCTTTCAAATTTTACCCACACAGGCACTTGGCCATATTATTCATACCAAATGACTATGATTTAAATGTGTTATATTGACTGCTACAAACCTGATAGTGTGGAGTTAAAGCCATAGGGTTGCTCTGATTATTGTCAAATGTCAACACATCAAATATTCCACAACAGTTTAATCGTAATCTGCAACACACAAAAATACAATATCAGTTTTGTTTACTTTCATGTTAGTGGTTTTTATAATTAATAATAATTTTATATCTACATCAAACATGCTTTGCTTATAAACCTCGTTAAAATGTTACAGTTCAATCTCTCTATGATTTAACATGCGTTTTCTTTAGACGATGGACAGCATTTTTTTACAACTTTTCGAGAAAGAGTATGTAATCTGTATAAAATGACAACTTACATAAGATTCTCTAATTACATGTTATTCTAAGCTCTGGGCATAGCAGTTTTACAAAAGGACACTTTTGACCAACTAACACAGTTTATATAACTTTTGTATGTAATGCTACTGGCCATATTTTAGCTCTTGTGACCTACATCTGCACCAGAATGGAACAGTTGCTATAAATATAACTTTTACAGAGAATCACCTATGAATCATTCCTGTAAAGTCTGGTCAAAATCCACAGTGTAGTGTAGGAGATTTAGTTTAAAGAAATTGAGGTCAAGGACAACTGATAAGACAACTTGCCCCTCTGAGCACTTTTCGCTTAGGTGAGCTTAAAAAAAACCAAAAAACAATATAAAAACTTCACATTACCTTGATTTGTTGTAAATGATGATTTTCGATGGGTCAAGAGTTCTACAGGAGAGTCCAGCTGCATGTATTGCCCGCAGTGATGATGATAACTGTACAACATATGACCATATAAGGCTCTCAGGGAGTAATCCTGCATGCTGCCGAGGCCCAGAGGTACCACCTGTATAAGCATAATAGTAATTATGTCTTTGGTTGAGTTTTCATATCATAAACACTGTTTATATGAAATGGTAAATTTTACTCTTTACTAATGTAACAAAACACAAAGGACCCTTCTATACAGTATTTTAAAAGAACCAACTATCAAGATGAACCTGTGCAAATAATCTAGCACACTAAAGTAATCATGATTTAACTATGACTTATGATTGTCTAAAACAGACTTCCCGAAATACGTCGGTCCGACGGACATGTCCGATAAATTTTGATCAGGTCCGACAATTTTTTATTCCGGATCGGTCCGACTGTCCGGCTTTTATCCAAGCCGCATGTATACAAAATGGCGTCGCTAAAGGTGCCAAACCTTGGAAAAACCGAAAATCTACGTCAGAAGAGTGCACAGAACAGCAATAAAAGGATGAAAATACTAGACCTGAGACAAAATTTAATGAAAAATAAAAGCAGAACCATGAATCATTGCTGTATGACAGGGAGGAGATGAAAATGCGCTGTACGGATTGTGCCGATTTTTACGGCGAAAAAATAAAAAACAAAAAGTGTCTTAGAAATACAAACACAAGTTTTTCTTTGATTTTGAACAATTTTATTTGGTCCGACAGATTTTGTTTCGGTCCGACAGATTTTCATGGTTTGTCAGACCGAATGTCTGACAGTTTTTTTCAACTTTCGGGAAGTCTGCTAAAAAGGATGTTTTTAAATCAAACTATAGAATTTATTTTCATTTTAATATTTCATGGACATTCTTCTTTTATAACCTGTTTTTACTAACAGGATAAATAAGGGAGGTATACTTTTCTTTACTACAGTTCAAGAATTATCAATAAAATTCTATAATAAATATTATAGTTGTTTAAAATCGGTAGATATTTTTTGCTATATATTTTGATCAGTAGAAGACCTACCTCTACTAGAGTTACCTTTCCCTGCACTGAAAGGTCGGGCAGATGAATCCATAAATGGATTATGATGACTATTGTGGTGGGCATGACTGAAGTGCTTCAATAATAATGTCTCCGCTAATGGATAAAAATCGTATACAAACACAATCGCTGGAATAGAAATAAAACATTGGTAAATAGATCTTTTATCTTCATATTAAATTCCAATTGACATTTGAATTAAAACATTCAGTCTTAGGTTAGCACTTACTTCTTCACTTGATTATAACAGATATCAATCACATAATTATAAAAGTTAACATAAAAAAGCTATCTTAGAAGCTACTGGATTTAACTCATACAGTGTTGGAGTAATACTTCCACACACTTGACAGAAATCATGATCACAAGTAGAAAAATATCACTTTTCTAACGATTCTGACGTTTTTGTTTCAAAATTGTATATATATAAATTGATGTAAGGAGATGAATTAGCCGTCCTGGCTAAAGTGTATTTCAGCAGTGAAAAGGCCAGATTTTAGCGTTAAATCATTTGCAACAAGCTGCAATGACTTAAATATTAATATCAAAAGATCAATTTTCTGTAAGTATAATATAATTATGAGTTTTCTTTAAAGATATTTACATTATGCATACATCACTACATCACTAGAGTGCAGCAAAACCTTTCTATAAAAACTCATTACAAATTACACGAAAACCAGTTTAAGTTTGTATTTAAATATTGTTTTCCCTTTCAATAATGTGAAATAATTTTGTTGTGTTTACATGTATTACTTACAATGATCACCAAATGCCTTCGTAGTGAACACCTCTCTCAGCTGTACAATATTAGGATGAAACATTTTCTTCCACATGTCAACTAACGTCATACATTTAGTATGAACCAAGCGGAATCCTGCAGAGAAATTTTATGAATATAACTTTTTTTATGAACAAATTAGCCATTGTTAAAAAAGATGTACACTCTAACAGATTTGAAAACGGTAGTAATGTGCATGGTATGAATAGATATTGTTTTGTTTTTTTTTGTTTTGGATTTAAAGTCACATCGACACAGTATAGGTCATATCGTGACGTTCCAGCTTTACTGGTGGAAGAAGACCTCAGGCATTATTTCAGGCACGAATTGGTACCTGAGTAGAACCATCAACGTTCCGTTAGCTAGCTGGATAGCTTCCTCACATGAAAGAATCCAAAGTCCCTGTCGGGAATCGAACCCACAGCAGTGAGGGGCAAGTGGTTTGAAGTGAACGACCTTAACCACTCTGCCACGGACGCCCCATAGATATTGTTAAATATATAACAAAGTGCGATAATCATGGAACATATTCTACATAATGAGAGGAAATCTGCAACTGTATTTGTTGTAGATTTGGCGCAAAACCTTGCTTTTCCACCAAATCAGTGTTTATGTTATTCACATAACCTCACATTATTGTTGTGAATTTTAGTACCAAATTTCTTTGAATAATAATATCTGTCATATGTTACGGTTCGGACCGGAATATCCGTCCCGAGGTGACCTGCCCATGGGCGGGTTACCGAGGGACGGATATTCCGATCCGAACCGCAAACATATGTCAGATATTTTTTCTTGCATATTCTACAATATTCCATTATAATTTAAATTCTTTATCTTTATTTTCAACGGAAATTTATAACATTACAGTCGTAACTATTTTCTTACAACAGCGTATGAAATTGCAACTTCATTCATAACGGTAAAATGACGTCATCCTAAGCGTGCCATTGTACAGCACGCGACTCATCTGGCACCCCCCATGCCAGATGAAATTTCCGGCATGGGTAAAACACACGGAAACGCCAGTCTGCTATGCAAGAATAATAAAAGGTGTAAAACTTAACTTACTCACAAAACAAAAAGACCAATAAACAGTAAGTTACAATGTATATATGTATTACTTTACCATGAATTCTCCTCAAGCAGTATGTCTGACCATCTTTTGTATTGAGGGCCTTGTAACAAGTGGTAGGGTACCCAAATGTTTTGGATTTATGATGCGGATTATCAGGGGGAGGCTCCAATGGGAACAAGTTCCTGTATGTATCCACTTCAGCTGGAATATCTAAAATATAAAATTGGTAAATTTTAGTATCATTTATTTACCTAGTTGGTAAATTTTAATATAAGTTTTTATCTCTTATAAGCATGCCTTTTGTCTGTCATTAATTCATATTGGGAATGCCACCAACTCCACTTGAACTGAGAGGGGGAAAAAAAGTTCAAATTTGGAATTTCAGAAAAACTGATAGAAACTTCTGAACACATCATAAGCAATACACATAGTTTCTATTGATAGCCTTTGTATACATATTTTCATTATATTCCAGTCTGAGCTGCAACACATGAAAGATATTACAATCAAATTTATGACATATTTATCAAGGTATCCTGTGGACTAGAGTGTGACAGACAGACAGTAGGAAAAGGCTGCAACTATATGATCTAACTTCAGGCAGTATAAAAATGACCACATCACAAAGAGCTGAAAAACATGTGACAGAGTTCTTGATGAAAATCATTTAGTTAAAACTGAGATGAAATCCCTTGGGAAATGTAGGGTATGTATTCAGAAGGCATTGTTTAAACACAGCTTGTTTGTCAACATTCAGTGACCAACATTGAGCAACCTAAAAACAAGAATTTTTTGTAGAAAAAAATCGGGTTAAAAATAAGCATGAAGAACTAACCAATATTCTAAACAAGAATTTTTTGTAGAAAAAAATCGGGTTAAAAATAAGCATGAAGAACTAACCAATATTCTGTCCCAGGTCTATTTGTGCCATGGTGACTGCACTCTTGTTCAAGATCTCCACCTTAAGTTCATCGGGCATGAAGAATTGTGGCATGTTTGACTTCACTTTCATGTGGGCAATATGTGGTGGGGGACCATGGAACATAGTGAAGTTTGGCAGTTGCTGAAATTGATCAATTAATTTTTCACATGTTTAATGTTATATTGAATAAATATGTTTAAATCAATCAATAAATCAATCAATCAATTAAATATCAATATAGTATATCAATAAAAGTTATTATTGCAATGCTGGGATTAAACTTGATACTGGAAAGTTAATATACAATTATTTATTGATTAAACATATATCTGAAAATCCTTCAATTCTATACATGCAATAAAAGCAAATTTATAGCCACTAAAATAAGACCAAACAAGGAACATCGCAATGCGATGCAACCAGGTTTTCAGCAAAATATTTCACAGAAGCTTTGTCATGAAGGGGCATTTGTTTTCAATTGAACTTTTAGGAGGAATTATGGCTTTTTTAATATTCCTCAAACAAAAATGATTGAGAAATTCTATGTTGTCTATTCGCCTTTTTTTCCCAAATGTTTTAGAAAGGTAAACAGTACTTTATTTTTGCTTAATTTTTGCATTTTTGCGTCTCTTGTCATTTTCTTTTGTCAACAATATTGGCGTGTGGTGTTTTGTGCGATATCAAGAAAAGTATGTTCACAATTTTAAAAAAATACTTGAATGATGTCTTGGAAGAAACATGGGAATTTAGTGAGCGCCAGGGCACTTGATGACAAAGCTTCTGTGAAAGTTTGGTCAAAATCCGTTGAGAAATGTAGGAGGAGTTGCGCACAGAAGAAATTGTTCACTATATATTCTATATAAGGAAAAAAAACAAAGGGCCATAATTAGGTCAAATATATACCAATTGCAAAACCCTGGCAATATGTGTCAGGGCACTTGATGACAAAGCTTCTGAGAAAGTTTGGTCAAAATCCGTTGAGAAATGTAGGAGGAGTTGCGCACAGAAGAAATTGTTCACTATATATTTTATATAAGGAAAAAAAACAAAGGGCCATAATTAGGTCAAATATTATCTAATCGCAAAACCCCGACAATAATGCGCCAGGGCACTTGATGACAAAGCTTCTGTGAAAGTTTGGTCAAAATCCGTTGAGAAATGTAGGAGGAGTTGCGCACAGAAGAAATTGTTTACGCCCGCCCGCCCGCCCGTCCGCACGCCCGCCCGTCCGCCCGCCCGCCGACATACCTCAATCTAATAACCAGTTTTTTCCTTCGGAAAACCTGGTTAAATATCTAAACATCAAGAAAAATATTGGACCTTGGCCATATTTTCAATGACAAAATGAATATGATATCCATGGCAGTTTTTGCTATTGTTAGAAAATAAGCAATGTTGGTTTAATGTGAGAGTCAGACACTTACAATACCCTCTCTTTGTGGAGTAAAATCCTCAGCATTGTAGAAGTATGTAGTGCCACCAACATTTTCTTGTACCATATTGCCTGCTGCGGGTTTAGGCTGTCTCAGGGGTGCCACTGGTGATCCGGTTCTTCTCATCATAAGTGGTGAATTATTGGGAGATAATCTCGGGCTATGATTGGGACTTGAACTAGATGTGATATTCAACCCTAAAACAAAGTGAAAACATAGTTTTTAATTGAATACCACAGGCAGAATGAAATATGATATCAAAAATCTGACTTAAATCCAAAACAAAATCTTTTCTCCCTATATAATGAACAAAGTAACAATTCATTCTATCTTAAAAGCTATATAGGAAAACTTGGTACTAATATGGCAGATTGAGTATAAATACTAGAAAGAATATTGCATTGAGCCCTTTAAAACAAAGGCTTTCAAAATGAGCAAGTAAAAAAATTACCTCCAAGATGGTTAGTAGCACTTGTGTTAGGTGGTTGATGTCCTGGAGGAGGCATGTTGTTAAAACTCGAGAAATTTGGGGAACTGGAACTGTGTGAAAGCTTTGGTATGAACTCAGAAACCATAGGATTACCTCCCTGCAAGCAAATAGTAGAAGAGTACAAGTGTGGTTAAAATAAAAACTTAATACTTGTATATAAGGTAAAAAATCTTTTTAGGGGGGGTTTGGTTTTGCATCGCTTACCAACACAGTAAAGGTTATACGGCGACTTTCCAACCATACTGGTGGAGAATGACCTCAGGTGCTCTTCTATGTATTATTTCAGGCAAAAATGAACGCGCTCCTGAGTAGAACCACCAACGTTCCATAAGCTACTTGGATAGCTTCCTCAGGCAATCAAATAGCATGTCTGTAAAATCTGCACATTTATTTAGCATGAAATATGATTACTTTAGCTATGCAGAATGCAAATTTTGCAAAAATAATTAGCTTTCAGTTGAACCATCTTCATATTAAAAATAATTTTGGTACTGCTAAGGAATTTTATATTAATTATAAACAATTATTGGCCAATTTGTCACTTACCTTAGTAGTTGATGGGATAGAGAGATTCAGGGCAGAAAATTCACTTGTCATGCTTGAATCATACCCACTGCTATTACCCATAAATGGTTTCATATTTGGTGGAAGCTGCCCATTATTCATCAGACTAGAAACAGGACCATTCTGTGGTGGTGGTAAGACAGCCTAATACAAAAATACTTTCTATAAAAACACAAAAATATAGTAGTATCTTAAGTGTGCAATGTATTAGTTCAGTGTTGATATATCATTTAATAACTTATTTAAACATTTTACATTAAGAATAATCCAACCGCCTCTGTGGTCGAGGGGTTAGAGTTGATGACTTCTAATCCAGTTACCTCTCTGGCGTGGGTTTGATCACCGGGAGAAGCTTTGGTAGTTTAGCACGGAGGAATGTAGTCTAGTACTGGTGTACTCTCCAGGAACGATGGATAGGAAACTACCCGCCTAAATAACTGAACTACTGTTGGGAAAAGGCGTAAAATGAAACAAACATTAAGAATAATCCAATCTATTGTGAAGGAGATACACAAAATCAATCACATCAACTTTGGTACCTGTTGTTGGGAGAGAGGAGTACTCTGTGAGATCGGTGCCTTGTTTGGGGTCATACTTGAGTTGTTGAATGGGCTAGCTATTTGCTGAGGCTGCTGGGGTATGGTATTGTTAGCTTGAGACATGGGACTGTTTGACATCATGCTTCCATTACCAACCATACCAACACTGCTCCTATTCTGACGTGATATTGGTCCTGGTCTTTGCTGAAGTCATAAACAAATCTTAAACCATTCAAATCAATACTGATTTTATCATTTAAAACTTCCAATAGAAAAACATTGCTTTTATTTAAAAAAATTACCATAAACAAGATATTGTTAACTTATTAAGACACTGTGCTGTGCTCCATTTTTCACCTCTTTGTCTACAGCAAAACCTGATTTTAGAAAAGAAGCGTAACTTGTTTTTAATGACAGTTTTCAAACTTTCCAAATCTTAGTTCAATAAGAAGTTGAGTTAGTAGTGGGTAAATCTTCACATTTTGGGGATTTTTCAGATCAATCAAATTTTTGCACAACTAGAAAGAGGCCTTATATTCCTTTTAAATGTTATGCAGTACAATCAATGCCTACAGATTATGAGAAATTGACCATATAAAACAAATTAGGTTCACTCTACATGTCTTTCATTCTTTGTCAAGAACAGAAGAGTAAAAAAGGCAATACAAAGGCTATAGAATTCAACAACTAAATCTACTTACAGAAAATGGCTGAAATTCTGGAGCATTGTCAGCTCCAGAAAAAGTGGCATTAAAGAACTGGTCACCATTGCTTCCTGTGCTATCCTGGACTGGCATACCTGCATAAGGAAGAAAAGTTTTAACATATTTTATTTCTTAATAATACTAATAAGAAATAATAGTAATTATAAAGCTTCAATAATTATAAAACATTACTATAAATTCAAAACTCACTAAAAACATTTCTACAATAGAACATGTTCATTAAATCTACAGCTGTCATTGATTTAGTGCAAAGTATATTGGTGACATATAACTTTATAAGCTGACAAATAAAAACAATATATCTATAGATGAATAGTTACTTGTAATAACTTGTCTTAAATTTAGTTCCATACCTCATTTCATTAAAAACATAATTATTCTGTTTATACAATTATGATATATCTTGTTTATATAAATGCCAATGGCATGATTTTTTTCTCATCACTGCTATGAAATATGTCCATTATTAGTTTTAAACTGGAGTTGGACAACTGCCCTTGATATGTTTTGGGGGTAAATTTTCATAATTAATTATTTCTATACATTTAATAAATTAGTAAAAATAACAAGTTTTTCAAACATGTAAAGATTACTGATCAACAAAAAATGTTGAAGATACATTGATAATGCTTTTATCAATGACAGTTAAATACATTTATATGATTGCAAACAATCATATAACCAAGGTTAGTAAAAATGTGGTAATAGAAAATATACTAAATCATAAAAATGTTTAAAGTTTTAAGCTTGCCCTTATAATACCAGAACTCCTAATCGACACCACAGGGACCCAGCACAGTGTTGGGATAGTGTAAAAAGTAATTCTAGAAAAAAAAATATAATGTATATAATTATAATATATAGACAAGGGGTTGAACTCGCCAAATCAGCCGAATACCACTAGTCCAGTATAAGTCAAAATTGTAAAGTCATTTATATGTAAATCATATAAAACTATATATCAATTGGCAGCTAAATGACATCACTAGACGTTGACATGGTTGGCAAAGTATTGACCGACCGGGAAAACCCAGGTTTTCCCAGCTTGGCAATAACTCGACCTAGCAAAAATACGATATTATATCCGAAATATTTATTTAAGTATTTATTACCCTTCGAGATTTTTTCCGCCTTTTTGATTGGATATTGATCACTTGAAAGAAATTGATATTACCGAGCCAGATGGGTAATATACACACTAAATTTCCCCGTTGGGTACCCCACGTTGTAAGCAACATGCGCTGTGGCGATGCGCGTACGGTTTGATTTTACGCAATGTAAATTCCGATTTACAAGCACTATTTAACTGTCAAATGATAAATATTTACCAAAATAGAGTAATGATACATATTCTCATTAGTATTGAAAACAAATATGACCTTGTGAAAGCTTGATAATTATTCAAAACAAGGGTGCCATAGTCACAAAATACGCCCGTTTACGAAAGCTTTAGATTGAGATGGGGGCATTATGGATAAGTGTTATCTAGCAAGCAAGTTTTTATCCTTGGCACTGTGTTGTTAAATGAACCTTAAAACAAATCAGTAGGGAAGATATGCACAGGATGTGTGACCTTGACCTTGGTCGCAGGGACCTGAATAATGCACGGCACTCAGCCTCACAATGATGAACATTTGTGCCAAATTATATTGAAATCTCTCTATGCATGTAGAAGTTTTGCTCCAGACAAGCGTTTTTCTATGAGCTCTAACTGTGACCTTCACCTTTGACCTAGAGACTTGGTTCATGTGCAGGGCACTCCTCTCATGGTGGTGAACAATTTTATAAAGTAACATTAAAATTCCTCCATGCATGTAGAAAATATGCTCCGGACAACATCTGGATATTTAATCATCTCCAGTGACCTTGACCTTGCAAATATTAACCTAAATTAAATGTGTCACACCTGTAGTCATGATAGTTACCATTTGTGCTACAATCCATCCATAAATGATGACTAAATGGTCCCTATGCACATCTTCAAATTTTTATCTGAACTTTGACCTCTATGTGTAACCTTGACTTTGGTCACAGGGATCTGAATTTTGCGTGTAACACTCAGCCTCACAATGGTGAACATTTGTGCCAAGTTATATTGAAATCCCCCTATGAATGTAGAAGTTTTGCTCCGGACAAGCGTTTTTCAATGAGCTCTAAGTGTGACCTTGACCTTTGACCTGGATCATGCATGGAGCAATACATATCATGGTGGTGAACATTTCCATAAAGTATTATAAAAATTCTTCCATACATGTAGGAGATATGCTCCGTGACATGGCTTCTCATAATGGTGAACATTTCTATGAAATTTCATTAAAATCCCTCCATGCGTGTAGGAGATATGCTCCGGACAAAATCTGGTTATTTCATCATCTTTAGTGACCTTGACCTTGTATATATTGACCTAAATTATATGTATCACAGCCATAGTCTTGATAATGACCATTTGTGTTACAATCCCTCAATAAATGATGACTAAATGGCCCATATACACATCACCATATTTTTATCTGAACTTTGACCTCTATGTGTGACCTTGACCTTGGCCGAAAGGACCTGAATCTTGCGCGCGACACTCCGCCTCACAATGGTGAACATTTGTTTCAAGTAATATTGAAATCCCTCTATACATGTGGAAGTTTTACTCCGGACAAGCATTTTTCAATGAGCTCTAAGTGTGACCTTGACCTTTGACCTAGAGACCTGGTTCATGTGCGCGACACTTCTCCTCATAGTGGTGAACATTTCTATGAAGTTTCATTAAAATCCCTCCATACATGTAGGAGATATGCTCCGGACAAAATCTGGATATTTCATCTTTAGTGACCTTGACCTTGTATATATTGACCTAAATTATATGTATCACAGCCATAGTCTTGATAATGACCATTTGTGTTACAATCCCTCAATAAATGATGACTAAATGGTCCATATACACATCTTCATATTTTTATCTGAACTTTGACCTCTATGTGTGACCTTGACCTTGGCCGCAAGGACCTGAATCTTGCGTGCGACACTCCGCCTCACAATGGTGAACATTTGTGCCAAGTAATATTGAAATCCCTCTATACATGTGGAAGTTTTGCTCCGGACAAGCATTTTTCAATGAGCTCTAAGTGTTACCTTGACCTTTGACCTAGAGACCTGGTTCATATGCGCGACACTGCTCCTCATAGTGGTGAACATTTCTATGAAGTTTCATTAAAATCCCTCCATACATGTAGGAGATATGCTCCGGACAAAATTGGACGCCGCCCGCCAGCCCGCCAGGGGCGTTCCCATAATACGTCCCGTTTTTCAAACAGGCGTATAAAAAGTGCGTTCAACATAGTGGTGCAACGATATACCGGTATATTGCAATACAGTCTCGGGTCGATATGTACCGCGGTGCAGCTGCCCTGTATTGCGGTTTTTTCTTTAATATTTATGCCGAAATAACATGAATGTAGAAACTTCAATTTTGAATCAGTAAGCAACGATTTACGACATCAAAAACAAAACATCAATGAAACATGAAAAGATTGCCGACACTAGTCGATCCCTGTGATGTATAAAGAAACGCCGCCGCGAACTTTTCCTGACGAAGCTCTTTGATCTTACCGCGTGAGTAGCAGAATCGTGTGACGTCATTTTCAGAGTGCGGCTTTGATCACGCTTTATTAAATTACACACAGTTTACAGTTACGCAATTTAAGTTAGGACTGATTAAAATTGTTGATTAACTGAAATAAAAAAAATGGAAAAAGAAGATTTTGAACTAATTGAAAATGAGAAAGCTAAAAGTAAAATATGGGTGGACTTCAACTTAAAAAAAAAGAAAATCTACAGGAAAAATTGAGGACGGCATAGCCGTTTGTAAAAAATGTAAGATGGATATTCGCTACAGCGGAGGGACCACAAATCTAAATACACATTTGACTCGACACCACAAAATCAATCTGCAACAAGGTGCATGCAATTCTGGTACTAGTTTGATCGCGGCAACAGCGTCAACCGTAAAGCAGCCTACAATTATGAGTTCTTTTGGGCAGACTTCCAAATACAAGCCTACAAGTCAGCGGTATAAGGACATAACGCAAGCCGTCGGAAAATTCATTGTTAATGATCTTCGACCGTTTAGTGTTGTCTCAAATGATGTATTTAAGGATATGATTCGTGTTTTAGACCCTAGATACGACCTACTGTCACGTACATACTTTTCTGAAACTGTTATACCGAACATGTACAATGAACGTGTGGGGTATGTTGATATTTCTTAAGAAAAACATTTAAAAAGCCTCAAGGACACAGGGTACTTATTCATTCTATAGATACATGTATGTGTTCTAAAAGAATAATAAGAAGAGTTGAAAAATAGCTTACGTTTTACTGTTTTCTTTAATTATTTTAGTATACACTGTACCACAATACGTATCGCAATACAGGCTGTCTATATCGCAATACGGGTTTGGCTGTATCGTTGCACCCCTAGTTCAACAGACTACTCCTTTTCTCTTGCTTACATTTGTTAGGTTCGAAAGAAACTACCTCATGTATTTATGTGACGTCATGTTGGGGTGAATGGGTACCTTTAAGGAATCTTATTTCGACGGTTCATTTGAAGTAGCAATTATTTATTTTAAAATCGTCTTAACTCGGCAGGGGAAGGGTAATAAAATTATCATTTTTGTTTTGGAGTTATATATGTGGATATATTACCTGCCAAGATAAAGTATCACCCGAGCCGTTATAAAATCTTGACAGGTAATATATCGACATATATCACTCCAAAACCAAAATAACATATAATATAATCTTTTTCTAGAATTACTTTTTTATACTATCCCAACACTGTGCTGGGTCCTAGCTTAAGGTCTTCAGCGTACCCGTTTATATGCTATGACATGACGTGAACGCTGAAGACAACCCTGTAGGGAAAGTCCACCAATAATTGTGCCAGGAATCTGACACGCTAGTATTCATTCATCGAACATGCCGTGAAGTAAAGTGAAGCATACCTTGATAAAACTATATATAATCTGTTGATAAGCCAAGGATGGACAAATTAAAATCTTATTACCAACATAAACTACCTAATAGTTTCCGACAGGTAAAAATTCCGACACTTGGCCGCCATATTGCCAACATTTTTGACCACGTGATTACGAGATTGACCTTTATGAACCCATGTGCTTCCAATATTTTTAAAAATTACTTTTTTTAAAGATACATTGTATTGAAAAAAGGTGATTTACTGACTTTTGTATTCAATAAAATCATATTTAAGTATTAAAAAAATAATGAAAATAAAAAACTTGATCTTGAATAAAAATATTGAAATCATGTCAACAAAGATGTTCTAAATATAGTACATGACTCTATCCTAATCGGTTCCTGCGAATGACATCATACGAGTTCTTGCGTGGCACCTAAATGTCATGATGGCCGACTGTAGTCGGTGTAATTGATGTTTTACAGTTATTGAGTTAAATAGGCAATTTTAATGATGGTATTAATATTTTGATACTTTAATTGGTATAGAACAATGTTAAAATAATTGTTTTATCGTAAAATGCACAAGAATTGATTGGGTCAAGTGTATTTGCAAGTGAAAAATAAGGTTAAATCAACTTATGTTATTCTGGTAAGGTTTGGTAACGGGTCTAATCCAAAACTTTAATGCTGCATCAGATGAAAAACAAAACTGTTAAATAACGGCTTATAAAGTTTTGGAAGCCAGAACTATGCTGGGTCCCTGTGATGATACACAGCAGTTGTCAGCAGTTTTAAACATAGACCATTAAGTCAAAATAACAAGAACTAAATATATGCTATAAAGTTCAATTTTCTTCTTTACTAGTTGGGGTTTTTGCTGTTTGTTTGGTTTTTTTTCGCGGAGATCACAATAAAATTTTCAATTAAAAAGGCAAATAAATTATTTTTTCAATGTTGCAAGAGACTTGACCCACTTATCTCCTTTCTTTACTCAGCAGATATTTCCAAATAATACATTACCTAAATTATCAGTTGTATTAGTTGGTCCGTTTTGAAGAGTGGGCCCATTTAAAAATGAATTTGGTATGCTCGGTTGCTGCGGCTGCTGCTGAAAAGTGTGCGGATTTTGATGAAGAAACTGGCACTCGTCTCCGTAAGTGCAAGTGCCAGTGCTGACAAAATATCTGCAGAGTGCGGCCTTTTTTCCACCAGGAACCGCACTTGACATGTTAAAACGATACCACTGTTTATTGTCTCATGTATGTTATATTAAATCAAAGCGGTTCTCGTGAGTAAATCTCAAATTGATTTGCTTTGTTAAACACTTTATTTTCAAAACAAGTAAAGTTTAGATCCAAGTACGCATGCTCAGCAGAATTGTGGGATATTGACCGCTTAAACATTGAAATAATTACAATATCATACAAGTTGTTCCCCTTGCATAAATTTCACAAAACTGAAGAAATATTTCATAAACTTATTTGTACTGAAGGATTCTGTATCTTTTTCAATCAAAGTGGTGTCAAGGTATAATATTTTTTATTTACATGTAAGATTATTCAAAATGCATTAAAATAGTTCATATGAAATTTGTCAAAGTCGTCCCAAGTTTAGTTCGACAGGTTAACTCTCGGCCCTAATCCAACTCGGTCCACTACGAAAATTCTATCATATCAATGTCACAAGATGAGAAAAATGTGCAGCATGACCTGGACTCGAACCCGGGACCCTCGTAATACCGTACTACCGACTGAGCTATCCGGCTGCTTACACATCTTCTCCCTTAAATAGTGAACAGTTCGAAACTGTGACATACTCCCCCCGCTATACTGAAATTCGTCCTCGAATTTCTAACGCGTAAAGAGAACAATTTGAAATTGATCTCTGAGCTTAAACCATCACGGTCCCATGTTGGGCGCCAAATGTCACAGGGTGATAAAAATGTGCAGCCTGACCGGGACTCGAACCCGGGACCCTCGGAATACCATACCGCGGCTCTACCGACTGAGCTATCCGGCGACTTACACATCTTCTCCCCGAAATAGTGAACAGTTCATCTTCTCCCCGAAATAGTGAACAGTTCTGAACCGTGACATCAACATATGTTTTATCTGTAAACTGGTGACAGTTAAAATATTCTTATAAAAAATATTTGTTGACTTGCAATGCCATTACAAATGACAAAAACAAGATATGAAAAAAAATATGGAGTCTCCAAGGACTAGGATCCTCATAGTCGAAATATATTAACATGTCAAAGTTAGATTTTATATAAATTTTTCGTTCTGGGTAAGAATCTTGATTCTATAGACACAAAATAGGGCAATATATCTTGTGGCGCAGTACAATTAGTTGGACTAGGATCCTCAACGCAGTGTGACCATGCAACATGGTGTACTACGTTGGCACAAAATGTGTTTTTACTTATCTCGTACACACAAGATACTATGTCGTGGCCTTAAGTTACTAAGTGGTGTGCACAAGATTGGTGGCTACAAGTTTAATTAGTGGTTCGCACAAGATAATTAAATTGTGTGCACAAATTACGGACAGGGTGGACAGTACCAGGGCGAACCATATTTTGAGAAAGGGCTGACAATAATTATGAAAAGCCTGGACAGCCGATATCTTTATTGTGAAAAAAAAGATGCTGCAATTTGACTTGACAGTTTAGTTTTGAGATTTGTGGCATATAGTTTCTGAATTGTCCTTCAATCCACTATTTCGAGATCTGTACGAAATAGGGTGCCATCTGACTGTAAACAAGACAAAAAATACAGCAGACTTCATTCAGCAAAACCAGAAAAAGACCATGGCCATCTATTAGACAAAAGAATACACCATAGCCCTCTATAAGACAAAAGAATACAGCTAAAGAAATAGGCTGAAATTATTCCATATAAATTATCTGTCTGTGCAAACAGTGATTATATCGTTGGCTTGTTCCACTCAGAGTTATGGCCCTTGATTAGTTATGCATTATGCATATAGAACAAAAATCGTTTCCGCGCTACTTCTCTGCAACTACTGGCTGGACTTCAATTAAACTTTACCAAGAGGAGATGCACATATCGATGCCTTGTTCCGGTCAGACACTTTAACTCAGAGTTATGGCCCTTGATTAGTTATGCAGTATGCATATAGAACAATTTGCGTTTCTGCGCTACTTCTCTGCAACTACCAGCTGGACTTCAATTAAACTTTATGGGAACCTTCAAGACCAAGAGGAGATGCGCATATCGTTGCCTTGTTCTGGTCAGACACTTCAACTCAGAGTTATGGTCCTTGATTAGTTATGCAGTATGCATATAGCGCAATAATCGTTTCCATGCTACTTCTCAGCAACTACTGGCTGGAATTCAACTAAACTTTATGGGAACCTTCAATACCAAGAGGAGATGTGCATATCATCGCCTTGTTCCGGTCAGACACTTTAACTCAGAGTTATGGCCCTTGATTATGCAGTAGAGCAATAATTGTTTCCACGCTACTTCTCTGCAACTACTGGCTGGAATTCAGTTAAGCTTTATGGGAACCATTAATACCAGGATGAGATGTGCATAATTTGTTGTCTTGTTCAGACCAGACCCTTCATTACAGAGTTATGGCCCTTCATTAGTTATATAGTTTGCATATAGAGCAATATTGCTATTTCTTTGCAACTGCTATATTGGTTTCAACAAAACTTTATAGGAACCATAGATACAAAAAGGCAAATTTACATCTCATTACCATGTCCAGATGTTACTATTTAACACTGAGTTAATTGCCCTGAATATTTATTATGTACAAAGAATATTTCTGTTTACGCCATGATAAATATATAAATAAAGCCTTATGTCTTCAGTTGTTGTTTTAGTCAGGGTAATGCCTGGTCAACAAATCTTTTATTCCTGAATGAACTTTAAAATATTTTTGCATAAATGTTGGCATGATGATCATCTGTGACACAGAAGCATTTGGTGTCCAGCTCTAATTAAGGTCAAGGTTGTCCTAAAACTTAATCATATTTATGGGACTAAGGTCAAGGTAAAATTCTACAAAGTTATTATATGATTGTGAATAGAAAAAATTACAGTAGACATGTACAGTCGATGACTTTGTCATTCATGGAGGGATTTTTAAAATACTTACACATACATAAATATTTGATACATTGAGCTTGAGTGTTTCATGCAAAGCTCAAATGTAACTCTTACAGGCTGTTCTACAGGGGACATATTATGTTCACAACATGATTCTTTTTAATTTATTTATTTAGACTGTGATACAAACATCCTAGTCTAGAATGACTGATCAAGAGGAACAAGATGATGAGTTATTAGCATTGACAAGTATCTATGACAACATTCTAAAGGTCATCAAGGAGGGTGACCTTAATGGCGGAGAGTTGTCTGCAAGTCCAGTACTGCCTGTAAACTTTTTTGTTAAAATTGTAAAGAATCAGAAAGGTAATTACAACTGGTTTTATCATATTTTTACCAGAGGATGAATGTCATAAGGGGTTGTCCATGGCAGAGTATTTAAGGTCATTGACTTCGAAGCACTTGCATCTCACCTCTGTTGGTTCAAGATGTACTAGCGTCTTTGGATTCTTTATGTGAGAAAGCTGTCCAGCTAGCTTATGGAACGTCAGTGGTTCTACTTAGATGACTGTTTGTGCCTGAAATAATGTACAGAGGGGCACCTGAGGTCTTCCTCCACCAGTAAATCTGGAAATTTGCCACATTACCTAAACTGTGTTTGTTGGTCGTAATTCTAACTACAACAAACAATGTCATAAGTGCATTAGTGCACATATTACTTCCGATCATTGTACCTTACTTGGGACCTTATATACAAATGTATTTTAACTTGTACATTACTTGCGTTAATAGGAAGTAGACTTGTTTATATACTGTGATTATATGTATTGTTTTAGGCAACTTAACTTTATCTTAAGATTTTTGTCATTCATTTACATTGAACAAATTGTTATTATTTATTATGCCAAGACAGTTTCAGATAGTTCTAAATTCATTGAGCTCATATGCCTTGTGAAATGATATAAATGCAGTACATTGTATGTACATGATTAGTGTGCTTTGTGTAAAATTCATGTAAAGATATTACTAAATGCAGGTACAACTCACCAAGCTCTGTTCAAAGAGAATAGTTACATGACAAATCACAATGAGTGGTGGCATGGCCGAGAGTTGTTTATGTGTCAGACTAGTAGACTGAATATTGCTTGTCACAAAGGTTCAAATCCCTCCAGGGGCAGTATGTTGTTCCCTTGAGCAGGAAACTTTACACTCACTCCATACTAAGTTCTTACATTACTCCACTTGACTTTTTAAATACCGTAGATCTTTCCTATTTTCACTTTCAAGTTAAGTTTTAACAGACCTTTCCCTTTAACCCTATCAAGTTGAATTTTTAGAACTTTTTCTCATTCCACCATCAAGTACCATAGTTGAGCGACAATATTCATGCATGCTGCCATAGGGACAGCTCTTGTTTTAACTTCTTTTAATGAAATAACAAATATCATATTATAAAATTTGTGATTTTCTGATTTCAGAAAGTACGGGAGAGAAGAGTGAGACTGAGTTACATCGTATTTCCTATCTACCTCCTGTATTGCTCAATTTTATCTTGCCAAAGGACTATCCCTCATGTAATCCACCACAGTTTACTCTCTCGTGTAAATGGCTCAATAGACAACAGGTAATTGACTATTTAATATACATTTGTATTTGGGTTTTTTTTGGTCACAAAACTGTACTTTATGGAACAGTACTATCAATTTGTTATTGATACAGACATGTAAAGACATGTGGCCACCTTATGAATATATTTTATAAATTATATCCACCTTTTAAAGTTTTTGTGTAAAAGGGTTTCCAACAATCAAATTTAATACCATGCCATGCATATGTTTGCCATTTAAAAGTCTGAAGATAAAAAATATTTGAGTCTCAATGATGGCTTCCACAATGACATATACCCTATAATAATACCATAGCTCATTAAAATATTTTGTTCCAGCTGATGATCCTAACATGTTTGTCAAATTGTCAAAACATTCGTACTTAAAATATATTGGGATGAATGTTTTTTTCGCCATATCATTGATTTATTGTTTGAAACAAATAGCATATGATACAGATATATTCTGTATTGTTCTATCTTCAAAAGTTCAACTTTCACAGAATCTAGACTTTCTTCTTAAATAGTTTTGAATACTAGTATTTTGAAAAAAATACTGAAGTGTGCCAGACACATTGAATAATATTGAGTACTTATAAGCATTATTATGGCAAGCAACAATTGGTGCATTTTGGTACAATTTTTTCTTAGTGCTATGCAAGATTTCAAAGTTGCAGTCTATTGAACATTTACTGTAGATGTAAATGTTTCTTACTATGATTTTATTTTTAGCTTGGCAAACTTTGTGAGAAGTTGGATTCAATCTGGGAGGAGAACAAGGGGTGTGTTGTGTTATTTATGTGGAACACATTTCTGCAGGACGAGTTGTTTGACTATTTGGACCTCAGTTCACCATTGGAGCTAGCCCATGTAAACAACCCGAGAAAAGACTCGGACCTTGACAATCGTGCAATTCAAGAAATCTCCTCACAAAGTGAACTTATACCTGTGATATTAGAGTTTAACAAACAGGAGAAGTACCGACAATTTGAGAAAACGAGTTTCACGTGTAAAGTATGTTTTAGTGAAAAAGCAGGTGTGAACTGTACAATCTTCAGTGACTGTGATCATGTGTACTGTAATGAATGCATGAGGGAATATTTTAGTGTACAGATTAGAGATGGTAATGTTAAAGGTTTGGAATGCCCGGAGGATAAATGTGAGTCACAGGCACACCCAGCCCAGGTTAGTATTCTTTTTTATGGAGCAGTCAATTGTAATGTTGACAGGGTGAGAAAAATGTGAGGCCTGACTGGGACTCAAACTTGGGACCCTAGGAAATACTGTACCTAGGCTGTACCGACTGAGCTATCTGGTCGCTTTCACACTATCTCCCTAAATAGTGAACAGTTCTAAACCGTTACAGTAACCCTAGGCAAAAAAAGCAAATGTTTTACTTTTACCTTTTCCACACTTATAGGTCATTGCTGCGTTTTTGTTTTGGTACAAGATAAAAAGAAATACCTCCAACACTCAGTGCTGGAGCATTTAGTTAGAACCGTACCATTTGACTGCCCTAACTTTACGCGAAAACTTTAATTCTTGAGTATTGCAAATGGTGAGGAGAGAGTTTTTTTGTAGTTGACAATTGCATGAAACCCTATATAATTATCAAAAAAAAGGCCAAATTTAATAAAAGTTTAGACAAATTTGAAATATATTTCTTTGACATATATTTCGAACTTTTTGTTAGTCAAAACATACCGTAATTGCATTTTTGTACAAAATGTACATAAACAAAGTTCTTCCATTTGATACACCTTTTGGTTTTGATTATTCTGTCTGAGAAGATATATTTGCATATACATGTATAACATGTATTTGTATATGCTTTTAAATGAGGGATAAAATTATGACATTATGCTATTTTCAATTATGCTAAGTTTAATAAAAGATGCAAAATGAATTTGGCATGCTGCTTTATTAGCATTGCTGCAAGTTTATAATTGCGGCCACTGTTTACTTATAGGTAAAGAAGTTAGTGGAAGCAGATCTGTTCAGCAAGTATGAACAGTTGTTATACCAGACGAGTCTAGATACCATGTCAGATGTGACTTTTTGTCCCCGCCCACATTGTCAATCACCTGTGCTAATGGAGAGGGAGACAACTCTTGCAATGTGCGCAGTCTGTCATTTTACATTCTGTACCCTATGCAGACTAGTTTATCATGGATTGTCTCCCTGTAAATTAAAATCAGGTAACGGTTTTGTGCTGGAATATATAAAGAATGAATAAAGTCTCCATCTGGGTCTAACCTCATAACAGAATGGTTTAATTTTCACAGTCTGTTTATTCCAATGTCATGACCTTTAGTCTGTGCAAAATAATGCTATTGAGTGAAGTTTATTGTTGCTACATGTATATTTCTGAGCACAAATAAAACATATCTTGTTGATGCACATTACCTTTGATAATGAAATTTGTGTAATTTTGAAACACAATCATAAAGCGCTAATAACAATTTGCTGGTTTTGATTGTATTAATAACAATTCTGACTCTGAAATAGGCTAGAGTACTACTAGTGTAGAAGGACCTGTATATTCAATCTAAAAATAGTCACTAACTGGCAAGCATTATTAGGATTGTTAAAACCACATTTTGTTCCTGTTACAGGGAATTGCTGAACTTCTCTTCTCTTACATGCTTTTAAAAGCATTTATTTAAAGATGAATCATTTTAAGAAATTTCAAAAAGGAAAATACTACAATAACATAAGATACACAAGTTATGTAACTTGATTTATTTTGTTGTCCAGCAGATGGTTTACTAAAGTTACGTGAGGAATACTTGTCAGCTGACAGTGCCACGAAGAAGTTACTGGAGAAACGATATGGGAAGGTCACCATACAGCAAGCTCTGGAAGAAAGCTTTACTAATGAATGGCTCAAAGAACACTCTAAACAGTGCCCAGGCTGTGGAGCATTTATTCAGGTAAGATAGGCAATTAGGCATACTTAAGGGTTAAGATTTAATAAATCAGCTTCAAAGGTAATAAAGAAAATCTCCAAGTTCATACTTAGGTCTCAGGTATTTGATTGGTCAGAAACTGCTGTAGACTGACATGGACCAATGAAATTCCTGAGATTTGAGACAGAACTCAGGAAAAGGTTTATAACCTGACGGCCAGGAAGCAGTTATTTTTGCAATTTATTACAGGTCTCACAGAATGACTGTAAAATTTAATTAACTTTCTAATGAACTTTTGTTTGTTATGGAATATTAAAGCAATGGAAAATATAAAATGCCTTAATCTGCAGTTCAACTTAAACTAGGTTGCTTGGCTTGCAATAAAATGCTGTTACTTCTGGACTGTTGAACTTATAATATAATGCAATTAACATTCAGTACACTTACACAATTTAGTTTGGGTAAAAAGTCTAAAGAATTAACCAAAATTTTAGAGAAGTTTTTGCATGCAAATTTGTATCTCCAAAACTACCTATTGGAATGGGTTGAAATTTCACACACTTGTTCTTTGTGATTATCTAATATGTTGGTCACACATACTATATCTTTTAGTAAGCCTTTTTACAAGAGTTAAACCCCTTTTCAAACACTGAGAAAAGTCAAGTGCACTGTCTTAGGAACAGATCTTGTTCTCTTGACTCAAAATATCACTAAAATCAGTTCCTGGAATACTTGATAAATGACCTGGTAATGAACTTAAAAGATTAATAATTATTTAAAATGTTATTTCAGGAAAGCTCAGCCACATATTTTTAGGCCCAATCATAACTTACCAGTCTGAATAGAAATTGACAGCCTCACAGATTATCTGATAAGTACAAATACATAGATGATATTTGTTTAGTTCAGTGTAAGATAGAAATATATTTCACCAAATGAGCACAATGAGGTATATTGAAATATGAACTTTTGGTGTTCACGATGTGAAAAATATTTCTACCTTACACTAAATTAAACAAATTTTCTTCTTATGTTATGCAAAGGAGCGATTAAAAGGACATTTTAACCTAATACGAAATGAAAAACGTGCCAAATAATAAAACAAAGTGACGTCATTTATAAGGTCATGTCATTAAGTTGGTTTCCAGTACTACAGTGCAAGCTGATATATCTCTGAAACAACGTAACAGGCTTAAATTAAAAGCAAACAGGACGTTTCGGCGCCAAAACAAATCGGCCCCAGTCAAAAAATCGGCCCCTGGACGTTTCGGCCCTTTTCCGCGAGACGTTTCGGCCCCACTATAGTATATTGCTTGATTGATTAACAACAATTAATTTAACTACAATTATGGCACTTTAATTCTTTAAATAATTATTTATTATCTTTTGATCTCTTGAACCATTTAGCTATATGTTAATGTTTTTAAAGGTGTAACAAACAATAAAGGCAGGTTACTTAATTTATAAAACAAGCCACTAAAACTTCTGGATTAAGAAAGTTACTTACAATTATTCCTTAGAAAACATTATCTTTTGATCTAAATTTTAAACTACACGTATTTTTTTTTTTCAAGGTGTAACTAATTAACTGTTTATAGCTTTATGCTAATTGGCGGCAAGTAATATCAGAGAAAACTTCAAAAGATTTAAAAATTGTAAAATTGTAAAAATGTTATTTATAAAAAGTGTCTGTTCACATTTGTTTTGTTTCAAGTAAAATTGTTTAACTGTTCTGTACTTGTATTTTCGTATCCATCAAACTCGTCACTGTTAAATAGTTGTTGATGATAATTTAATGTTTGTCTCGTGTATTGTTTTGTGTCTTGCTTCTTAATCTTTCAAATAAAATATTATCTCTATATGTTGTAAATAACTGTTTATTTGTGTATTATATTTTTTCAAATAAAGTTTATGTTCTGTTCTGTTTGTATTAATAAAATATTATCTATATATGTTGTAAATAATTGTTTGTTTGTGTATGATATTTTTTCAAATAAAGTTTATGTTCTGTTCTGTTTGTATCGATTACTTTCCCCCTACTACTATTATAATCTAGTTTTTATACAAAATGATTAAATATTTATATTAATTGATTCATTTATTTATTGAAATGCTAAATATATTAATATATCGGTTTAAAATACAGTACTTATTCTGGGGCCGATTTGGTAAAGGGCCGAAATGTCCGGGGCCGAAACGTCTTGGGTAGTTTGGGGCCGATATGTCTTGGGGTCGAAACGTCTCGAAATCAAATTAAAAACAGTGAAAAATATCAAATTGATATTTTCACTGTTATAAACACCTAAAAGCATGTAAACCACCTAAAAGCATGTAATAAATTGTATTTCATTTTCAGAAAATTGATGGCTGCAACAAGATGACCTGTATGAAATGCCGAGCATATTTCTGTTGGATATGTAACAGTTCATTGTCACGTGCCAACCCATATTCTCACTACAATAGTAACGGGTCTCCATGTTTTAACAAATTGTTTGAGGGTGTTGACATAGACGGAGATGACTGGGAGGATGACTGGCATTAGTTAGCGTCAACTTAAAATTGCACTTTAAAAAAAGGCTTGAAACTTTAGTAATTGTTTGAATTATACATATTAAATTGTATTTAAAAATTGCCGGAATAATAAAATTTAGTTTCTCTCTTTTTAATTTCATGTAGGAAATATTAAAGGTTTGTTTGCAGTCGGGCAACAAATATATAAATAAATAAAGCACATGCTTCAAACTGACATGCTTATATATTGTTTTATTATGATAGAGATGTTTTAAACTTCATACGTCCTGTTGTAATTTTTGTTAAAAATTGTACAGTAAGCTCTGTTGATAAGGATACTCTGAGGACTGCAGACTGTTTTAAAAGAAGCAAGGTAAAAAAAAGCACACATAAAAAAGATGACATCAAATGTTTAATGGCTATATGAATATGTCACAAACAAAAGTATTTTCAGCTTGTAGTCATTAGAGTGTAATAACTAAACGATTTTATGGAAATAATGATACTTGATTCAAGAAATATGCCATTTAGAACAAAAAAGCAAAAAATTAACTTTTATTTAATTTAATATCATTAAAAATAAAACATATGCCAAAAAAACTAATATGGGTGATTTGGATTTTATCATTTATATAATCAATTCAATAAAAACAAACAATTTTCTTTAGCTTTCTGCATTTTGTCTTCTTCAGAAAAAAAAAATGTTTATAATACACAAATGACACAAGTTCTGTTTAACTTTAAAAGGAATAACGAGAAAATAAAAACTTTGTCAAATTTAAAGATAATCTTTCAATTAAAACATTGCTACATGAATACAGCAGTGAACAATACAATATACTATATAATATACATAGAATATAGATCTACACAAAGTCATGTGATTTTATTTTTTTATTTTATCACATATAAAACCAAGTATTGCACCGGTTAGCAAAAAATAATTCATTTTATTGATTTAAATCAGAACATGTGGTTAATGTTATACTTACAACATGTTTTTAGATTGTTATCTTTAATGAGATATTAGTCTTTTACGATGACAGATTGTATATGGTTGTTTACAATTTAATAAACAGTTTGAAAAATATTAGGTCATTGCTTTAACATATGTTTGTATATTGTTCTATTTTGAATTTTTGTTATATGGGAGTGAAGAGAACTATAATGGTATAGGAAAACCAGTATTATAGTGGTGATAGCCTATGTTAGTTGATAGTTTATACAAATTTATTTTACTTCCATTGTGTTGAACAATATATGCTTGTTGAAACACTCTCTAATCAGTACTAAACAATGAGTGTTAAGCTTCTTGCTCATGGAAACAGCGGCTTGCTCCTGTCTGGGTTTGAACCCACGCGGCCATCTATAACTAGTCTATATGTTGCTAAGCTTGATAATCGTACAAGAAATAAAAAATTTACCTCTGTCATTTGATATATTCATTACTAGGGTAATTAAGTAGATTATTTGACAAGTGGAATATAGTTGATCTATTATTACCGAGTACAATTTATATTTAGACTAATGATAAACATTATGAATTCTACTTTTCCTAGTTAGTCAGGTTTTCTATGTCTATATATCGAACTTTCACAGAAATTGTTGTTTTTTTTAATGTGCATTTAATTTTGGATACTCTTCTATGCACAATGTTTCTGACATTTCTAAAGAGATTACATGTAACCTTTAATTATAATTGGCAAAAAACCTAGTTTTGTGACATTTACAGTCACTTGGAATTCTAATTCTATTGATCATGATGATTTAAATTTCTATTAATATACACTGTAGGTACCTTGTTGCAATCACTATTTTCTGTCAATTCAGTAATTGTACAATGTAAAGAATTGTAGATATTATTTTTGACCAATGTAAATGGTGCGACTTGTAATATAACACAAGTCTAGATTGTATTTTATTATTTTTCTCCATATTTATACCATTGTGATATTTATTATTTTACCTTTAAACATTCTTGTAAAGAATGTCAGTGATTCAAGTCACAGAAATTTGTGATGTAACAGAAATTTGTGATGTAATTCAAGTCAATAAGACATTGATTGTAATTATTTATGTAAAGTTGCTATGGTGCTTATGATTAAGTTCATAGTTATTCTAAAATATACTAGCCGCGTCACGACAAAACCATCATAGTGCGTTTGCGACCAGCACGGATCCAGACCATCCACGCAGTCTGATCAGGATCCATGTTGTTCGCTATCAGTTTCTCTACTTGTAATAGCATGAATCCTGATCAGATTGTGTGGTTGCGCAGGCTGGTCTGGATCCATGCTGGTCGCAAACGCACTATGTTGGTTTTGTCGTGACATGGCATATTTTAGACTTTATGTGCTCAAGAATACTTTACAATTGTTTATTGAATTTTATTTATTTCCTATCATGTATTAGATATTGTTAAATTTAGCAACTCTTTATTAAATTAGTTGCTCACCTGATAAACTAATTAGTTAATCATTTACACATTGTTTCGTTTTATGTTCTAGCACTTACAGTGTTGAGAGATATTCTTTGCTAGTTGCATAAAGTAATTTATTTTACAATCTCCTAAAATGTTTATAGAGAGGTTATTTCCTCATGCACAATATTTGTGTATATTTACGAGGATGTTGTATGTCATTCATGAATGTTTAAATGTGCTATTCAATTACCCATTGTGACATAATTATGACCATTTATCTGGAGAGGAAAAAAAATGTCCACAAAGTATCGGCAATTCACTTACACACATCAATTCAGCAACACAAACAAAATTTTCTTTCATTATAGTGCTAAACTTTTCCATGTTGAATTCATAGAAACACTATTAGATATCTGTCACAGTTCTTTCATCTTCACATAAGTAGTTGATGAAAATCTTTTTTATTTTATACAAGGGTTATAATAATTATTTTTCTTCACAAATGTAAAAGAATTTTAATCTTTTTGCCTATTATGATATCATCATATCATATATATCATATAGTATATGTTGAATAATGTCCCACTTTTGTCATGGGAGCTAATTTTTGTTATAACTGGGGTCCTTTTAAGGCTGTTTAAGTGCATTTACTTATAGCATAGCAAAGACATGTATGGCTGTTACTGCTGACTTGAGAAAGATTATAATTTTAGATTTCAACACAGAAATAATGTTGTATGCTTATGATAGAAATATGATTGAAATAATTCCCTGCATCTGAACTCAAAAAAGTGATTTTATTAGCTCGACTGTTCGCAAAATAATCGAGCTAATGCAGTCACCCATTTGTCTGCGTCGGCGTCCCTGTGGTTAAGTTTTTGCGTGCAAGCTGGTATCTCAATCACTACTGAAGGGAATGGATTGAAACTTCACACGCTTGTTTTCTGTGATTAACTTACATGATTGCAATAAGTTCCATAACTCTGATTTGCTTTTTTGCATAATTATGCCCCTTTTTCGACTTAGAAATTCTTGGTTAAGTTTCTGCGTGCAAGCTGGTATCTCCATAACTACAGAAGGGAATGGATTGAAACTTCACACACTTGTTCTCTGTGATTATCTAACATGATTGGCACAAGTCCCATAACTCTGATTTGCTTTTTTACATAATTATGCCCCTTTTTCGACTTAAAATTCTTGGTAAAGCAAATATCTCCATAACTACTGAAGGGTTTGTGGCTTTTTTGGAACAGTTTTATGCATTTTATAATAATAAAGCAGTGATTAACTCGATAAAACATCTTAATTACATTAATTTTCGTATAGTCGAGCGTTACTGTCCTCCGACAGTTCTTTTTTGGCAATAAAATCACTGTTGGGGATATAAGTATTATTATTTCTTAATTATTATATACCAAGAAGGCCATTGAGTCAAGATCAATAAAAAATTATTTCTGGTCAACAACTAGTTGCAAACAATATATTTTTATCAAAATAACATAAAGCAAGCTGTATAAAGGGTATAAATAGGGTATAATTAGCTAAAGAGTCCAGGTCCACCTGCAATGGCTATTGTTAAAAACCAGATTTGATTTCATGGCATTGCAATGTTTCTTGTTTATAGATTTTCTATCATTCTTTATTTATAGATTTTTCTATCAACACATGTATAGAATACATTATTAAAGTCACCAGCCACATCAGAGCTTCAAACAGAGCTATGCATTGAAAATAAAATATTGCTTTCTTGATATTTATATTTTTTGTATTCTTTAGGGGAAAAGGAGAATACTCTGTTAATTAAAGATGACTGTAGATGTAGCTATTATGATTCAAGCTGTGTTTTAAATAATCATTTACCACACTATTTTGCTAAGTGATGCTTTCCAATCTGTTTTGTATGGTAAAATTGTTTCTATGAAACAAGTACATTTTGCGTGGTACAGTCATCTGAGCAGTGATGTTTAAACATTTAAGTTTAAACAAGAACAAAATTATGTTTTATTTATTTAAACAGAGCTTTATCTAGTCAATGTGGTTTGATGCAGATAGGGGAGATAATTCATCACTGCAACAGTGTGCTGCAGTCTTTATCATTCATATTTTCTCTACTTTCCTTGCATTGAAATTTTGGGTGGGTGGGTATGCTTGTATGAGGATGTCCATCAATCTGGCCTTCTTAGTGTCTGTAGACACAAGAATAAACCTTTAGGGCTTCTTTTTATTTTATTTTTAAATCTTCCTTCAGTGGGATGTGTAGTAATTTAACAATTATCATTTTTCTTTATTTTTTAAATCTTTCTTTGTGTGTGAAGTGTATTAATTTAACATTTATGATTCCTAATGATATGGGTATGGTCCATCGATTTAACTGACTTTATAACTTGTAGTATGTAATGGAATTGACAAGATAAAACAGAACTGGAGGTTTCATTATTGTATGTTTCATGTATTAAATTGCATGATTTTGTTACAAGATAACTGTTAACAATTTTGAAACAATAAAAAATGGGAATATACATGTATTATTGTTTTATGTTCACTTTTGTGAGTGTAGAATAGTATTTAAAAAACAGACCATGAAATAAAAAAGATATTTGATATTTGGATTGAAAGAAAAATGATCAGATGTAATTAAAGTATTTATTCAAATTATACATACACTTGATGTATGAAATGATATTAACAAAATATGCTGTGCAACAAAGAGTACAAAACTTCAAGTCCAGCTTTATATAGTTGTTAACTAAATTTGTACTCAATCCACTAAACTCAATAGATGTGTCAAACTACTGAATAGTTTCTCATTGGCAGTGTATGATAGTACATGTAAATTGTCATTTATCAAGAGAATGGTTGAGGTGTTTGTGATACTCTTTCTGCTGTAAGTCGAAGTCTGTTGGCTACATAATTTGATGAATCTATGTATCTGAACACACAGTCTCTAACACAATTCTCTGTTTTTGAGTCTAGTTTGTTGCTTGGATAGCCGACACATTTGTCCCAGCATCTGATTATAAAAACAAGAAAAGAATTTGTATTAGGGCTCCATGCTTCAACACAACATCAAGTCTGGAGCTGCGGTGTATGAAATAAGTAAAAGATGATGAAATATACCTAACCTTACATTAATCAATGTAAAAATATGACAATGAAAATCAATAACAAAAACAACATAAACAAAATGTTTACATTATAAAGATGTACATCATCACATAAATTTAGACAGTAAATACTATTTTTTGATACACTCATTAGGAATATTATGGTGTCCATGGAAATTATGTATTGTAGTCAAAATATATTGACGCTCCAAAGCTAGATGTACATGTTAGTGTTCATCCGTGCTGTTCTACAGAAATTAGAAACCTCGACGGGAGCGATAGCGACAGAAGAACGTTTCTAATTTCTGTAGAATAACTACGGATGAACCTTAACATATTTAGTGTCAAACTTTATTTGGCCCTTGATTATGTCACTATGCGGTTTTATGAAACACTGAGGTTATGAAAAATAGAAGGGCAACTATGAACAGATTTCAATATAGATTCTCGCATCAACATTTTTTCTTCTATCATGTCTATGAAAATTAACACATGATTTTTAAGAAATACAGCATTTTCATCGGATGACAAATAAAGCTGGACACTAATTCGAGATAATGTATGTTTGTTCTGGGTCAGACTATCTTGCTTCTATAGGAAGGATATATATCCCCGTACTGCCTCTTTCCAATCAGCTAACAGATTTTTCAACAATAACTGACAGTAAAATTATATATAAAAAAAATTCTCTTTCGATTCTGTGAATATTATCATTTCAGCTAATAAATGCACCAACATTTTAAAATTTTACTTGAATATATTACTATGAATCAAGGACAAATCATTACTGACCCATTTTCCTGTTCTTCAAAATTTCACAACCACTTTTCAATCAGTTAACAAAATATAAACTGTATCTCATAAAAATTGTCATACAATGTTAAAATATTATTAGTTCTGTATTTTGGAGAAATTTTGACAAACTCAACTTCAGATAAATGGTAATAAACAATTTTAACCTAATTATAATGCCATTTTTCAATCTAGATACATGTATCTATTTGCAGTGGTAAAGCTGTCACAATGAATTCATGATATTGAAACAGCTGTCCAACTTAATATCCATTTCTGCAGACCCTGAGTCTGTATATCAAAAACTGAGTCTGTATATCAATTATTTTTAGAAAATTATTGCGATTTGTAACTTGGAAAATAAAGGATTAGTGGAAAACACACATTTTACATATTTTGAACTAAAATGCTAGCATTTTCTTTTTTTATCACCATAATTGACATTGCTGCTGATAAATTTAGTCAAGGTGAATACAAGATGTGCTTACAGTTTGGTTACATGACAAATAATGTCAAAAATAAAAAAATTCTAGGGATGATTGAAAAGTGGTTGTGATTGAAAACTGGCAGTATGTGGATACACAAAACAGCACAATATCGTTTAATTCATGTAATTATAATACTTGACCAATAATAGTCACCATGTTAGCAATCATGGTAAGATGAAACTGACTGCAACATGTTCAATGTGTTCCATGATTTTTTTTTCAAATTCATTAAAATTAGCCATAATGTTCTCATTAAAAACAATTTTGTATTGGGTACGAGCATTTTGAGTACGAATCAACATGAGGTTATTTACTATAGGTGCTTAATTATTAGTAACCTTTCTGTTAGCATCTCTATATGAGCCCGTGACTGAACTTTCTGTTGTTCCACTTGAATAAACCGTTGTAATTTCGGGTTATCCATCTTTTACTCTCTTTCTTATTGTGTACCGTAAAACTAATCGGCTGTGACTAAAAAAAGAATTGGAGCACCACACTAAATACCGTATTCCGGTATATACCGGACAAGGCGCTTGAATGATAAAATGCTAAAATCTTGTCTTTTTACCCAACGGAATGAACTTTAACAGGTCTAATTCATCTTTTCACACCGAATCAAGTACGATAATCAAGGAAAAATGTAAAATTCGGCGAAAAAAACGATATTTGTCTATTTTGTGATCATGATTTCTGCAAGCGTCTAAAGGTACTGCTCCAATCCTGTATTGAGGAGGCAGTACACAGTTTCGGCTGTTTAGTTTCGAATTGGCCAGGGTGGAATTTACAAATAAGAGACAGTTTTGAAATTAAAGTGGATATTTGAGGTTCTAAATGTTTATAGTTACTATATTTCAAGTTTCAATGACTAGTATTATGTTTTAGTTATTTAGTAAAATTGAATTTAGTGGCGTTGACCCTTGTTTTTATGAGAGAGTACCTGTCGGATGCGAACGTGTGGTTTCTGGAGCTAGCCGGTGAATCAGCTCTTCAATTTAAAGGGTATGCAGAAGACTTAGAATAGTGAAAAAAGTAGGTGGATGGCACCCCGTTTGGATGTTATTTTCAGATTGTGCATTGTTTAAGAAGGAAGAAACACTATAGCTTGTGATTTAATTTTTTGACGTTAATATATTGTTGTATTTTGCGAATAGGGATAATCCGCTTATTTTGTCGTTGATTTTCGCGACCAAAACAATGAAAAACACAGGGCTGTGTGCCAGAAAACTAGAAGGTGGACATGTATTTTTAATTGTTTGCTGTGAGATACATATATATATGTTAAATATGAAATGCATTTATTTCAGGTGTGTGATTACAGACTTGTGTGTGAGGTTTTGATTGTGGCGCAGTCAGTTGTTTGCCGAGAAGCCTTGAAAACTGTGTATTGCCCCCTGAGCTAAATCCAAACTAATCTTGGTACGGAGTTTATATCTTCGTTAGACTATAATATGGTAACCGTACCAGAATTTCCGGAATATGTGTGAGGTTAAACAGTACTAAATGTAACTACTCTTAGCGTTTCAAAAGTCGATATGGAAAAAAAGAACTATTAACAATAAACATAGGCCTACTATGAAATGTAAAGTTTCCTTTAACCAATGGGCACAGAGATGGAAGTGTAATAGCTATAAAGAGTCTTCAGCAAACAGGTTTATGGTCAATAGCGTTACGGCGACTAGCTAGGTGACCTTTTCGTAGTAATGGTATATAGAGGATATTTGTTTAGTTCAGTGTAAGATCGGAATATATTTCACCGAGTGAGCACCAAAAGGTATATTTCACGAGTGGCGCAGCCACGAGTGAAATATGAACTTTTGGTGTTCACAAGGTGAAATATATTTCGATCTTACACTAAATTAAACAAATTTTCTTTTTATTATATGCAAAGAAACGTTTTAAAAAGACATTAAACCTTATACTGAATGAAAAACGCGCCAAATGATAATACAACGTGACGTCATTTACGCCGTCACGTCATTAAGTTGGTACCCAGTACTGTGCACGCTGGTATTTCACTGAAACAACGTAAGGGGCTTAAATTCAAAACAGTGAAATTATCAAAGTGGTAATTTCACTGTTTCAAACAGTGAAATTACCAGTTTTATATTACTGATTTTAACTTCAATTTTTTTATATGGGCACCAAGACTGGACGAGCACCTGTGTGCAAGATATGAGTTGAAATTATCATAATTATATAGTATGATTTTTGGCAAAACGTCGGCAAAATACCAGAGTATTCCCGGCGGACACACCTATAGATAAAAGCGGACACACATTTAGAGCCCCGAACCATCCCACCATATGGGGTTCTGAGAAAATGACGCTGGGACTCACAGGGGCTAGCCGGATCAGGCGAGATATTAGCTGAAATAGTCATTTATAGTTGGGTGACGGACACACGTATACCAGCTGACATACGGACACCCCATGCACAACACACATTTTGTTAAATCTGTCGCCGTTTTTTCATCTTAAGTAGCCTTGATTACGGTTATTCTAGCTAGCCTAACATAATTATTCTAAAAAAACCAAACTTGAAAAAAATCTAAAATATTAACTACGTTTTCACTTTTATTTTTCAGCACCCCCGCCCAAGAAAAAAAACACCACCGGACGCTAGTTGAAATCTATTGCAACTAATTGAAAGATACAATGTTTGTACCAGCTGTGCACAAACATGGTCACAATAGAAGACGGAGATTAAAACGCGTAAAACTGTCTTCGTGATAAAATGTATTTTTTTTAAATATCCTGCGATTTCATTGAATGAAAATATAAGTATTGTTCTAATTAATATTTTCAGATAGGGAGAAACCCTAAAGCTCCTGAAGGCGCTTTGTTGATCAAGATAACAAAACAACCGGGATAAGAGAGTAAGATATAATTAACGTAAGTGATTGTTAAAGCAAGTTATTTGAGTAAAATTGTTTCCATTTAAAGATGCATGATCTTATTTTTCTGCTTACTGCTAACAGTCAAGATAACTGTAAATGTTAACCCTTACCACGTTAAATATTTAAAATTTTCAATCTGGGCAGAAAAAAAAGAGAATATTTTCAGGGAAAATTTAAAACATTATACTCACTGAAAAGCGAACCGTGGTTAACATCTTGATTAGACGGCACCAAGTTAATGTCATTTATATGATCGTTTTGACTGTATAACGATTTTCAAGCTCGAGTTTATTTAAGTGTTATGTTTGCCTTTTCATGTTAACTGTATAAATTTTTAATCTTTATTTCACAATGGAATACAGCAGATCTCGCAAATGATCAAAACTTGTAAAGTAATCTAAATAGGATACATTAGTGAAACCGTCATTTGTTGATGTCCTTGCCCAGGTTCGTTAGAGTTATTTATGGACACGTATATTATTTCATAATTCTTTTCTGTGTCCACAAGAACATATATATTTCACCTAACTTTTATGACAGAATGAAAGATTTGGGTCAACACTAAATCAGAGTTCGCAATTTTCACTTATCTAATGGTAGTCACCGTTCACTTTGAAAGATGATATACTTCCCATTGTCTTTCGTGAACAGAATCAATGAAACCAATTCTGCTACTATCAAACTTTGTTGCTCCCGAGGGATCTCCCCTCTTTTTTATCATATTACATATATATTAACAACGATAAATGCAAAGTATAGAATAGATGAACATTACTTCATATTCTAACACTATCGGAAATTTTTCTATATAAACAAAGAAGGCCCGAAGCGTGCATTATTCTGCAACAATGCACTCGCCGTTCTTATTATCTCCCTGTGTATTTTCACATTGAGGGCGCCATTTTGTTTGAAAAATCTGATAAATAAAAACATTTTTTTGTCGAATTTTGTTGTGAAAACTATCTAGAATGATAGAAAATGGTCTAACTAAGAAAATAAATCCGAACACCAATATCTTTAATTCAGTCGTTAACGCTGTACAGACGTTTAAGTGTTGTTTACGTGACGTCACAATGTAGCGCCAAACAGCACGTGCAAAACAATCAAAATCAAGTACGCTCTTTTAACGTCGCAGACGAGTTAAGTTTTACATTTATTTAACTTTTAATTATTTGTATTTCGCTTGGAAAATTATAGACTGAAATAAAATAAACAAACAAAGTTTTATCAACGTTTTCAAAATTCGTTATTCTCAAAATGTTTCTACACACGGTAGATTTAACGACAGTTTTTTTTCAACCCACTGGAACGGCCTTTAAAGAACGTTTCTATTGGAAACTCTGAGGCGAAAACAAATTTAATCGCCAAACATAAAGTCCAACTTTATAATAATAAGTATGTTTTTTCTTGACCTGTTAGAATGGAAATAGATATTAATTCTTCGTGCATTATTGTATAATAATGCACGTTTTTCGTTCAAATGCTTTGTAATTAATCACTCAGGCCTATCGGCCTTCGTGATTATATTACTACGCATTTGAACTCAAACCGTGCATTATTCTACAACAATGCACTCAGAATTGATATCTATTTCCTAAGTGTAACATGTACGAGAGTGGTTTATTGCCATTTGTTTATTTTACATTTTGAACTTTGTCCGGGAAATAACTCTAAAACGACAAGGGGTATAAACAAGAAACTATGTAGGTAGATAGATCACATTGAGTAAAAGAGCAGTGAAAAAGAACCGTAACTCTACATTGCCTAATTCTGGAGTTATTGGCCTTTGTTTAATTTACACTTAGTAAACAATATTTGGTAATGAAAATTAATCATAAATTGGTATGTCTTCTTCCATGCTCCGCTCTTTGTACCTTCTTCTACTGTTGAGTCGAAGCCCTGCTGGGTACCTTTGTTTTGGACCTTGAGTGTGGTTGGATTTTGTTGACGACTGTGTTCTGTAAACGTCACTCTGAATTGTTGATCTTATGTTAAGGTTTTAGTATTTGTTTCATATAGAGTACTCTATCAGACAAGGAAACATATCAAGTCCATGTCATGAGTAAATTATTTAACAATTAACACGTTTTACTGTTATTGTTGCTGTTGCAGATGGTAATTATTCCACTGAGTGACGAATGTATAGATATCCTTATACATAAGTTTGATGTGGACGCTGATGGTGAGATAGACTTCGGGTAAGTGGTAAAGGAAATATTTAAACTTGAACGTAAAATAAATAGTATACGCTGTTAAACGTTTCAACAAAGGTCAACAGAGGAGAATGTTGATGTTTGAGACTTTTTCTAATAAGTGCCAAGTTCAACAACAAAAACCTAACCCGTTTAGTTAGTTTGAAGGGAGGGGGTGGGGGTACAAGCAGCGTTTATAAATAGTTTTTGCCAAATGTCGGATTGTCAGTGTATATGGTATGGATACCGATTTGATTTTTTTATATATTTTATAGAGAATAAATGGCAGCACAAGCAGAACACAGGCAAAAAATGAGCAAATTTCTAATGGCCGAAGAGAGCGACATGGATGTTAAAGACACGGACGTAGGGCGCATAAGAATAAAACTTTCTTGACTTATGGCAAAGAAAATGTCGGAAAATCCTGCATTCAAACGCGAAGTCAAAAAGATGACAAAAGTAATAAACCAACCACTAAAATGCAACGCTCTGAAAATAAGTAACGAAACAATTCTTGTAATAAGTTACACTAATCATGTATAATTTTACACAAGGGCTACAAACAAAATAAATTTTAACCTTTAAAAACCGAAGGCTATCGCACGATGACGACATAAAACTGATAAAATTCACTTTGTCGTTGAACATGGTACTTATTTTTGCATCTTACAATTTCACTAAAAGACTGTTTATCATGGGAATGTATTGCTTTGCTGATACAAACGTTCAGTTTTAAGTCATATGAAAGAGGCTAGATGTGTATAGTTCGACATTACCAAGAAAGGTCAATAAACATCACGAGTGCTTTATTTTTTTATCTTTACAAGAACCATGCAATGAAAGAAAAACAACATTACAATATTTTAATATTAAAGCATCTGAGGAATACAAAGATAGAATATATGAATATGAGATGATATGAATGACAACACACTAGTTTATATCATACATTTAAATGTTATTATAGAATAATAATTGATATTATGACTTCATTGATGAACTTAATTTGCTATCACATTACGTGAGATGAACTGAAAAGTGTTGATATCAAGAAATGACATCTATCACTGCAAGTAATATTATAATGACATTAATTTAAGGGCTGATAAAACAAAATAGAATAAGTTTGGCGGCATGATTAAACAAAGTTCAGGTTTCTTCTGTAGAGGTTGCTTCTGTAGAAACTTTATCACATTTGACAATGATATTTATGTAGTGAAGTTTTTCCAAGTTCGTCATATATATAATATTTTTTTCTGGAAATTAAATGGACTAACGTCTAAGAGGTACTCAATTTAAGTACTTAAAATGTCACGTAAGGTCAAGAATTACGACATAAAGATACATGCCTCCAGATGAGTCAAAATATTAAAAAAAAAAAAATCAAAATCAAAAGTGTACTAAGATGTAAGGAAAAGTAATAAGTTTCAAGATTCAAGTAATATTTTACATATTATATGCGATTAATGACTGATTTTTCAGTATTTACAACTATATGTCTACTGCGTTACTAACGCAGTAAAGGCTATTTATGCATATTTTGACCACTTTTTGGTAATTTACGTGGTTTGTTAGTGCCATTGATAATGTGTAAATTGCTTCCTTTTGGTTACTTCACAATATTACAAATTCAATTACATTTTCAAAATTTTCATGAAAATTATCAGGAATCTGGAGGCGTGCTGCGTAAGGAAAACACAGGAATCCACAAAAATATAGACATGTATTTCACACGTTACAAAATATAACCAATAAGCTTTCCGCAATTGAACCACGTGATTAAATCATTGCTGAGTCCAATCTTATCTTTGTTTATTTACAGTGTCTAAAATATCTGCATCAAATGCAAAGACCATCTCACACAGGGTCCAAAAATCATATAAATTCTTATTGTACTTGAAGTAATAAAGTTCTATAAAATGTAAAAAAGATGGTGTCAAATAAAGAGATTATACATATCTGACAACAATACAAATTCTACTGGACCTGTACATAGCTGCAAAATCCATATCAGAGGCTAGAAACTCCTCCAATATATTTTTGACATCTATATACTCGTGCAATAAAAAGCAGTATTAAACTCTACAATATATAATAACATCAAAATATAGCATCTTGTTTTTACCCGGAAAAATGTAAAAAAGGTACATTTGGCCTCAGAAATAAGAATATTTTTCCTCTATAAAAAGGCAAACTTGTGTTTAATAATGTCTTGATTATGGATTAATAAGAGATTAAATCAGGTGAAGAAAAAAGTGTTAGATAAGAAATAATTTTGTCATTTAAGAAGCAAAACGTTAAACATTTAAGCAAAAAATCTTAAGAAAGTCGGAAACAGTAAAAGAACATCAAGAATGATATAATGATAATTATAACAATAATAATATATAAAAAAACGTTGGAAAATATTACAAATATTAAATAAAAAAAACTTTATTGGGCATTAATGAGTCTTCGTTTTAAACGCAAGATTTTCTGTACTAGGATGTTAAATAGGGCAACGTTTGTCATATTGTTAATTCTATGAAAATATTGATTATATGATTGATTTATGAGAAGGTTTTAAGCTTGCATTTACCATTACCGAACAAGATCAATGGCTCGTTTTTGTGCATTTTAAGGAATTCCGTTTTTCTCTATCTTATATAGTAAAACTTTATTGAAGTTCGTGAAGTTGTGCACAGAATGTTTTAGACTTCACATTAACATTTAAATTAAGGTGTACACATAACGTCATCATTTCTGTAGATTCATGCTTGACTTTTAGAAACTTTCCGAAGATTGTATTTGTACAATTGATTGTTATGCTAAAGGGTTCGTTTGCAATAGCAAGACCAAAGTAAGATCCACAGTCTGTTCCGGCATCATTCATGACATCATCACGATTGTTAGCAACGGTCACTGTGAAATTTGTCTGTCTTTCAACTGAAAGATATTCATATTTTTAATATTTTACGTGTATGATTTAAATCATTCTTTTTAACAATATATTAAAATAAATACAAAATCACCTTTATTTTTTATTTTAACTTTTAAGTTAACTTAAAGGTAATTTTTTTTTCAAAGTATAAAATAATCATCGGGTTTGATCGTATCCTAAAGATTCTTACAATTTTTTATCCTTGCTGTTGACTTTCTTTTGTTTTCTAAAGACTGTGAACGTGTTACTTTGAAATTAAATCATTGTACAAACATTTTAATAGTTATAGAATATAAGTATGTTACGCCAGCTGCCTGTACATGCAAGAATTTCTAGCTCGAGAATATACGTAACTGTTTAATTACGGCGGTATTGAAGCTGTGCCCTAAACTACCCGAGGGCAAAATATTCCTGCGTGTAACGACAGCCGGTGTTTGAATCATACAAATTAATGGTGTTTTGATAAGAGATAACGAAACTTGATATTTTCGTTAAGAACTTTTTTCTAATAGTAGCGTATGAATTTATAACTTCTTTCATAGCGGTGAAATGACTTTATCAAATTACGTAATTCATTCATATTGTAAATTCAAATGAATTTAATGTGATGTTATAATATTATGTTACAAAATTCCCAGAAATTGCCTCAGGGATCCGACGTCTACTGTGAATAAAGAGAGATGGAATTAAACCAATAAATCTTGAAAAATGAATTTTGATATCATACAACAACAGTCTGTCCGTGACTTTATTTTGACTGACTTTACAGGACCCGCAGTTCCAAACTCAACAGCCCAGAAAGAGAAACCAGTATCAGTGTGGGCACAGCTTTCTATGTTTCCGTCTATAGCCATTTCTGCCATCAAATGAATACCATATGTAGAGGACTGCCATGCTTCAGCTCCTTGTAAAAGATTTATTCCTGTGAAAACAACAAGAAAAGCAACACTTTTAGATTTTTAGAAAGATTCTATGGAATATTATTTATTAAGTATACCTCATGTTCATATTCACGAATCGCCATTATTTTTTGTGATAGTTTATTAAAGAAAATTAAGAGGAATGTTTGGTTAAAATAAATTCGTGGAAAGAAGGTTTTACTGTCAGATTTTCGACAAATTTGGTTGCAAATGTCGGACTTAATCCTCTTGCTTTTTACTTCGCACGAAGTAAACAAACTTATGTTAACTAATTGCCATAATTCTTTTTGTTGATCTTTGTAGTAAATTTTTATACGTTATATTTCATACTACTTTTTAAGAAATGAACCCGTTAATTGAGAACTTATCTGAAATAACGTATTGTCTTAGTTCATTTGCAAGTAAAATTCCTGTTTTAAGGTTTCTGGAATTTTTTTTAAAAAGAATGTTTTTTATTCTGTTCGTCGGTCGTAGGGGACAATTTCACATCTGTCACTTCTCATTGTATTGGCTTAAAACTTATTCAAAACTTTTTAAAACTTCTGAAATGTCGCACAAAACAAACATTTTACAATGTGCCTATAATACTATATTTAAAGTTACTGTTTCAGAACGTAAAAAAGATGAAATCTACTGGTTTTCGTAAATAGTTCAATAAAATTGATCAAGAGAATTCGACTACAATTGAGCCGCGTCACGACAAAACCAACATAATGGGTTTGCGACCAGCATTGATTCAGAGCAGCCTGCACATCCGCGCAGTCTGATCAGGATCCATGCTGTTCGCTTTCCAATCTATCACAAGTAGAGAAACCGATGCGCAGGCTGGTCTGGATCCATGCTGGTCGCAAACGCACTACGTTGGTTTTGTCATGACACGGCTCAAATAAAGTTATGCATGCATGTTTAATAAAACTAGGCAACTTTGCAGCCAAATAAATTTAGAAGATACGGACTGCAAAGCGTTGTTTGTTCCAGCAAAGGGTGCCGCCGCTGAAATCATCGCCTTTTACTAGCGGCTCGAGCACCCTAAAAGTGTTCATTTTCGTCTGTGACACATTTTAGGGTCACTCACTTGGCTTCAGTCAGGACATCGGCAGCTTACTTTATACACATTTTATCGTGCCGCCTTGAACGTAATCCCGAGCTTAAAAAAGCACGCGAACTTTCCAGCTTACACGTTGAAGTTGACCAATGCTCTGCCCTTTCTCAACGACGTGCATGTACCGACGGGAAAGAGAATCTTTAATAGAAACACACTTTTATCTATCATGGTTGCTGGCCAGTATCATCATAAATCACCAAGGTCAATATAAAATGAGTTATAAGATTACATATGAATATGTCACTTATTATAGATGTTCCTTACAGGAAATTGTTCGTAATACCATCAACTGTTATTTACATACAATGTCGTAGGGCTAAACGTTTTTCGAATTCTCCCATTGTACGATTGAGTGATATTTTATTTTATTTTTATTTTTCATTTCTTGAATGACAATACACACAAAAAACATTAAATTGAAAACATCATGATTTTATTATACAAAATATGTACTCTAAAAAGTATGCAGTAAAGTTTAATAATAAAATATGACCTGCATGCTTTCAAAACAAAACAAAATATATATAATTTTTATCATGATTATATCATATTTTATTCATTTTTTTTTTTTCAAAATGAATATAGATCTATGTTATTGTCTCGTTAACACACTTTCTCAAAAAAGAAGTTTTCAAAGTTCGAAAATGTTGTATTTCATGTAGAGCGGCCATTTGCATTTAGGTTGACATTTGACGAATATAAAATCATAAAAGAAAATATTCCATACATTCATTATTACTATGCTATTAAACTACTATTACTATTTTCGTTATTCTTGCTGATAATTTTAATGTCCTTAAATCAGGAAATGTTGCTATAAAAAAAGAAATCAAAAATTTTAATGGAAATAATGACAAAGAATATTTTATTACATGTTCGTTATACAAACAAGTTGGAATAATAATAATAATAATAATAATAATAATAATAATAATAATAATAATAATAATAATAATTATAATAATAATAATAATAATAATGATGATATGATGATGATGATGATGATGATGATGATGATTATGATAACGAATAGCGAATGAAAACGAAACGGAATCTTCATAGTTTCATAACATTTAAAAAATTATATTAAGGTATAGACAGCGGATAAATAAGAATGAGAAAATAAAACTCTTACCAAAGTTTCTCCGAAAATAAATTTTCCATCCGTTGTTAGGTATTCCTGACATTGTATTATCTAACGGATAATAATCTGTAAGCTTGCACTGCTTATTTAATTCATGAAAATTCACAGACAGACATCCGAACATACTATCACAAAGAGCAACACATTTGTTGATGGAACTATCATTAAAGCTAGATATGGGATTCCCATTACTTTCATTGCTGGCGTACATTTCATAAACAAAGGATTTTGTTAATCCAACAGAAATGTGAAAGAAATTGAAAGACAGGTAAAAATGTTCTAGAATCTTCATTTTGTGAAGGACACAAATTTAAATCTCCAAATCTGAATACAGAATTTTTTGGAAATGACCATAGAAAATTTTTAATAGCTTAACAAATCGTTTCTTTCAAGAGAATGAGAAGCAAACAACTGTCGGTACTAGAACGAATACGAATGAATAATAAATAAAAATTTGCATAAAGTATTCCTGACGGATATACTTTTTTACAAGAACGGCGGTTACGGAAACACTACAGTTCCATTTGGAAATAGTTTTTGCAGTGTTTCCGAAACGTAAAAAAACAACAACAACAACAACAAAAAACCCACTTAAAATAACCTCAAAATAACCTATAATAATAAAAGCAGTTTTATCTCTTCCGATTATCGTTTTTAACGAATCATCATTAAAAATCATTCAGAATTATATATAAGACTAATGGAAAGCTTTTTAAATCCTGTTAACGGCCACATATACATGATTTAGAATAGAAAAATGCTTAATCTCAACATCTGACCAAAAACACAGAACATGAAAAATTAAAACAACAAATAACGATACCGAAATGTAATTTTGGATTTTACTCACTACAGTGTTGGAGCAGTATCTTTTTATTTATTTTCGTTTATTTTTATATCTTTCATTCAAGTTCTTATATAAATTGGTGCGAAGAGATGCAAAAGATGTCTTAAAGTGCATTTTGGCGGGTGAAAACGGGATATTAATTCCTTGTTTTCGTGTCCGGTATGTACTTGAATACGGTATTTCGTGCTGCGCTCCAACACGTTTTTCTACAGCTAGTAATCATAATTGTCATAATATTTTTTTTCTTCCTACCTAACGTTAGAATCACATTGACTTCCTGTGAGATTCCAAGAATAAAAACTGAGTATTCCTCACCGTGATCAGTTCCTCAACCTAACTGTTTCTTACCCCGATAGTCATTCTCGAAATTTGAAATATGTAGAGTTTTGCCCCAAAAAGATTTTTATCATTTATTTTCATTTTTTATATAAAGATATTCTATTGATATTTATTTTAAGACTGCATTTCATAAATATGTAGAAATATTTTACCGTCTGTCTAAAAACCGAGCGGTTTACTCTTTTATTAACCTTTTTAAGCATTATATTGAGTATTCTGAATACACTTGCTATGACAGTTTTGAAAACAGACTCAAACAAGCCAAGTAGTTGATCCCTTGTCTTTGATAGATTTTTCTTTCATTTTGAAATTTGACATTGATGCGTAAGACTGATTTACGAAGTTTTGTTTGTAAATACAAAAATGTACATAGAAAATGAAAATGAAGATCAACAGGGCAAAGGCAACGTTCACAGGACGCAGTCCCCGACCAACCCAAGCCAAGGTCGTGATAAAAGTGCTGCTGATGATGAACTTACTTTCTATCCTTGTCATCACGGAGTTCGATAAACTGATGGAATTTCGTCTGCTCGACCTTTTTGCTGCGTTTGATAAAGATGGCAGTCGATGAAATTAAGACAGGACTTAAGGAAATAGGAGGATATTAATATTGCTTTTTTATAAAAAAAAAACCTGCCCAGTGCTCAAGTAAACCAATATGCACAAGTTAATTAGATTTATATACAGAAAGCTACAAAACGTTGTGTTTTGTATTTATAGTGTGCGTGCGTGCGAGCGCGCGTATGTGTGTGTGTGTGTATGTGTTGTTTTTTTTAGGTTTGTAGTGGGGGTGATTTGTTGTTTATGTATATATTTAATTTTGTTTCAAGAAAATAAATTAGAAAATTTAATTCTTATTTATTTCATTTCTTAAATTTTTTCGTTTCGCTAATTTTATCTTGGAACACCATCCCAAAAACGTACACTATTATTAACACGGCCTATTTGTTTTAAATGACGAGACATGCAAGGCCCGCTGTAGGCCAAACAACCTGAGTACACAACAACAGCTAGCAGCATGCGTTTTAGATGTTGTTACATTAAGGTGTAAACATCAACCCTTGAGTCATTTTATTAAAGAACTACGTGTCAAATTTGTTGTGACGGAACATAAGTTTAAGTAGCATGGTGTGATGAAGTTGGTAATTTGTAGGAATGTAAATATTTTATTTAAAAACTTGTTATAAAACTTCGTGCATTAGTTATGAGCAGGATTACAGTAGGAACGTTTCTCACAGTGATATTTTATATTTGTTCTAATGGTAAGTAGTGACGCCATTAAAACATGCACTGCATTTTTTCTTGAGACTATTTTTTTATGTTTTAACAATGAAGTAGTGTGGCTGTTGTCTTAAGACATTCGTTTTGTCAATGAAACTTGTGATTAGTGAAGCTTTAAATAATACTGTTGTGTGAAACTCGTCGATAAGTTCTATACTAAATTTAGTATCTTGCTGTATATACAGGTTCATCATTAATATCAAAGTGCAAGACCATGATGAAAGTGTTAATAATAGTAAGAATATTATCTTTCCTCTATGTGACGTCATTTTGCGCTTTGTTTACGTTCTGTCTAAGGTCAATAGAGATAACAGTAATCATTTTTGTAATCAAAGGTTCGATTCTTGGACGAGGCAAGTTTTTTTTTTTCGTGACAATTGATACCAACCAAATGAGACTAATAGTCATTTGTCTATCATTGATGAAAATTGCAGCATGTCACATGCGGAAAAAAACGGTAATTACTGGTATCCAGTAAAAAGATGGCTAGATGAACAGACCGCGGAAATTTTACATAAAAGTGCGTTAATATCGGCGTAAGAAACTAGACAAACACACATTCCGTTGTTGTTGTTGTTGTTGTTTTGTTATTTTGCTTGTTTGTTATTATTTATTTATTTCTATTTTTATTTTATTTAACCTCTAGGAGCATTTATAAGTTATTACTTTGTACTCAGATTTTTTTACAATAAATAATGTGATGTTGTTCGTATTATACTGAATCAGTGGAATAACGGTGCTTAGTAAAGGATAGTCTCCTTTAGAAAACGGCCAAGACCTAAGCTCTATTCTGTAGAAAGTACATGCAGCTCATGTTCTTATATTCCCTTTAAACTGTTAATGGTCTATGAATCGCTTGCAACACTTATGCCGCAGTTGTTCTTCATGGCACCATTTTATGCTTTGCTTCGACACTTTTCTTGCCAGATTCGCTAAAAAAAAGTCAGAAATAACCAAAGACAACACAATAAGTGGCCATATCCAGCTGTAGAATGTTATTAAAATAACAATGTCTGTTCGTTTGTGTCATCAAAGAAGTTCATTAAAACATTATATCATTGTTCAGGTGTAATGTGAACATTTTATATCTGTAAACATGTCAATTTTAGTACTCTTTTTACATAAACCAAACGTATTATGACATTTTAAAACACGAAAACATAATTGAATCAAAGTTAATTTAAGTGCTTGATTTTGGAAAAGCTTTATTTTAATGACTAACATATTTGTCAGCAATAAAAAAGATATGAATTCGGAGCGAGGTAGTCTATATTACGTTAGGCTTATAAGATTAAAAAGAAATAATTTTTATTTTGTAACAGTTTTATTTCAAAAGAAATGAACCGAATACTTTCTATAAATGATGTTTATTTTTTTGACGCCTTAATTATTTTTAAACACACTCCGTGGGAACATCTCCCTTGAATTTTAGAGTGAAAACAAGAAACTGTAATAACGTACGTGTTAATAAAAAAGAGAGAAAAAAGACATGTGATAAAACTACAAGGAATGCGGAAAAGATGTTCGAAAAACATTTCTATTTACAATACATTCAATGCGTCATCAAAATTATGTATTTTAATTCAACTTGAAAGCTTCAGTATTATGTACAATGCTCAAATAGTACACAGTGTATGTAACAATTACAGTACTCAAAATCTGCTTCAAGAGTTTATGAAATTTAAATTGTCTTTTATTCAGATGTAACAGTATGTTCGACGAGCACAAAACAAAGAATAAGTATCAGGCATTTTCTTGGAAAACACAAACTGTGTCATGGTGGATAATATTGAGTCACATGAAATGATACATTTTCTATGTTGTATATTTCCAGTAAAACTGACAGAGGGTGGGGAATGTTGTCGATCTTATGTAGATAATACAGGTATATACCATTACCAACAATGGTGTCCCGTGTTTTGTTGTGGATACGCCACACTTGGAAAGTTAGAATGTTGTTCTAACCCAAGACTGCGAGCATTTGAAGGGAATAGAGATGGATTTTGTGCTTCATGGTTTACTTATTCAGCAAATGTGTAAGATATTATTTATTTCTAATTAGGTATCAACTCAGCATTTGTATTGATAAAAGTCGAAGTAACTTGTTGGTAGTTTCTTCAGATGAAATGTTTCTTATTAAGACTGACTTGAGCTATCACTAAGTATCAGTATAGAAAATAGAAGGCTATGTTTAACCTATGCTCGAAAAATATTATTGTTTGGCAATATTGACCTGAGACATTGGAATATTCAATGACATTTGGTCGGTCATAAGTAAGCCAGTATGCCACATCGGATATATGTATAGCTTTAAATACTTGCCACATCAGTACATGTGTAACTTAAAATAATGACCTTACTTGCCTCAGTGATAAGGTGTTGTTTCTTTCAGTTTCAAATTGAAGGTTGCAAGTTCAAATCATGATGAGAATTATTTTTATACGTAACATTTTCTCCTATTTTATACTGCACGAGAATCACTCATTGTAGAGAACTATGCAATATGCTGTCCCGTCGTGCTTACGACTACTATCATTAAAACCAATGCGTAAATCGTAACAAATTACGGGAACTAACGAAAAACCCCGTCTGAGACGATATTTAATATACAATGTGTGTTGCATAAAATCGTACTTAATTAAAGCGGAGAAGATAATTGTGAAAATTTTGAGCCAACGTCTTACATTCAATCCTCTGAATTCTGAATTAATTTACTTTGAACAGTCAAATTAGATTTTTAAGAGTTTAGGCAATGCTTAAGAAGAAAGTCTTTGTATGATTGTTATCAATTCCCTGATTATTTTATTTTTCAGATGGGCACCAATCATAATTGGTTTTATCATCTTGATGATTATCATAGCGTGTTGTGTATGCTGTATTCGCTGCTGCTTCTTTATCTAGAGTAAGTATTTCATTTACATCGTACTGTTCAATGTCATTTTATCAACGGAATTATAGTCTGTCCCACCAAATTTAAATATTCCATTTTATATTAAATATAATAGGAACATCATTCAAATTAATGTCATGTTAACGCTGACGTCAATATCTCTAGACATGTTTTTCTTTTTTTTCTCTCAAAAAGTCTGTAATATGGTCAAAATGTTAAAATTATATTTTCCAGTTGAATTACTATAGTTTTCCGGCCTAATTATGGACGTTAATGTTGTTTTTTCCCCTCAAATCAGGGCATATAAGGTTAAAATGGTATATACATATATGATAAGTTTATGTGCTAGGACTGAGAAATATACAACTTACATTTGTATTAAGGTTTTAAAGCGTACCCCAAGTGAACACAAACGCGACTTTATCAATATAAGTGAAGCAAATACATAGGTATTTCTATACCCCCACCGCATTTTCGGCAGGGGATAATAAAATATTGTAGTTGCCCGACCCATCTACTTTTTGTAGGATGTTTGATCTCTGACACCTGCCATGTGCCATGTAATCTAGTCTTATGTTCGCTAACATTTTTTTTTATTCGAATAACACAAGTCCCTTTTTTCCCTCTTCGTACTTAGGATATTTGAATATATCAAATGGAACAGAACGAATTTTAAATGATGTTCTTTCTGGTCTTAGTCTAACGATATATAGGTTATACATTGTAGTTACTTTAATTTAAGAAAAAAATCGGCATTACATATATACCAGACGTTTGGTCATCATTGTTTAACATTGATATCGTAACATCTCCTATTCATGCGAGTAAAGTGAGCGTTGTTTACACGTTAATGTCCACCTTTTTGCCATAGGACATTTGATATAGGAAAATAATTGGATGATTAAACTTTGTATTATCACTGGACACTTACTTTAAACGTGCATCGTTAATATTCTTATTCCATTGCCAGCTTTAGCCATAAAAATGTAAAAATAACAAGTTTAGAAATTTTAGTTGACTGACCTTATCAGATATAAGTGCTTTTGACTAATTACTGCCTTTGATAAACTTTATGTACAGATTTGTTACATTTGAATTTGGCGAAATGTATTTTCCCCCGTTGTTCATTAAAGATTTGTTGTGACAAATACCGTCAATATAAATCATCGTTTTCCTCGTAGTTTACGGAACGTCAATGGGTTCTACCTCAGGTGCCCGTTCGTGACTGAAATAATAAAGGGAGAGGTATCTATCGACACGGTTGGAAAGTCGCCATATGACTTCAACAGTGGTAATTGGTGCGATGCAAAAGCATCCCCCACACACAAAATAAATCAAAACCCTGAAGTTGCTTGAAAATTTAGCTTTTCGGACAAGTTCTAGTCAAAAAATACACACGACTGGTCTCCTGTACAGTTAACTATATCATATTCATTTTGTAAATTCATTACGGTTTTATTATTTTTCAGGAAATCAAGTTCATCTACTAACGTCATACCCAGGGATGTTTTCTGTTATTCTGTGGTATTTTACATTCATTTGAAAATATATTGATGTATGAATCATATCATTTTAGTATTTTTTAAGTCGTAAAATTGAATTAATTATATCTAATCTGTGTTCACTGCTTTTTACCAGATGAATTATTTAATTTATTCTGAGGCAGTATTAATGTCTTCTCTTTCACAGAGTTAATAACATTCCCTTTGAAAATGAACGTTTGCAAAACCAAATTGTCACTTGAGATAAGTACATTTATTTTGTGAATGAAGTTTATTTGTAAAAAGCTGACATGTATTATCAAGAGTTCCTGATGGACCTTTGTTGCTCACCTGAATATATGGAACCTAAACAGAAAAGATTTCACGGGCGTGGCCATTTTGACCCAAATGGTCATTATACACATTTGTAGAGGGCTTTGATTACCCTAATTCGCTCACCTGAGAATGATTTCTGGTCATATGGTTTCCAACATTAAGAGATTTTCAGATTATAGATCTCTTCCAAGTCGGGAGTAAATTTTGTTCAAATCAGAAATTAATCGGATAAGACATACACAACATACCCCTTATAGCCCTTTTAAGGACAAAACTTTACCATCCATAGTTATGTAAGGCTGTTTTTTAAGAAACCGAGATTTACCAATGATAAAGATTTATGCCAGTTTAGTTCATAAAAATAGTTAGATCCTACTATCTTGCAGTCAAACTGTGTGTAAGTTTAACAGAGAATCTGTTTTGTCAAAATATACATGTACCTAGTTATTTGGGATATGTTAACAAAAATTCAAACGAAAACTTGTTGATTCGGCAGACATGTTGTCACAATTAAATCCAAATACAAATGTATATACATATGTACGTGTGTGTATATATAATATGGACAACATGTCAGCCACATTGTTCCTACCGCAACTATAGGTCTTCCATGTAGAAATCACACTGAATTCACTGTTACCATGACAACTCATGTTACCACTCGGCATGTTGTCAAATTATTGTTGAAAATGCAACAAAAAACAAGTAAAGATTTGTAGAAATTTAATTTAAACTACCTCTCCTCGTTCATGTCAATATCAATAATAAAAATATTCCACTAGTATATTGATTGAAGTAAATTTAGCGTTGTTCCCAAAACATATCACAGAGATAAACAATCCAATATGAACTGTAATAAACAGTTAAAAATTTACAGTACTTATACAAAAATCACTCAATTAAGAAATCATTGTTGAATAAAACAAGTCTTTAGAAGGTTGTACCAGACTGCCTATTATCTACCATAAAACCCCTTCCCTTCTTAATTAGTATAACAAACATATCGTGTGTTAAATTATAACTATTCACTGTTAAAAGGTTAATTCTACATCTATACGTTACAATGATATTTTGTCATCTCTTGACTGCATAATGTGGGAGTTGAACTTGTTCCACTCTGCTACCACTGGCCAGTCAATATTGGTGGTTAGTGAATATAGATATAAAATTAGATTGTCATGATTAGTCAGGATTAGTAAAATCAGTTATAAAAGAAATTATCAAAAACTATTAAAGCTCTCCATTAAAATCCTCATGTTTAGTTGTCAATTAATTTAACATAAATATTGAAACAAAAGCAAATTTTGCAAAATGTAAGTAAATAAGAAAATACATACTGAAGACCAAAGAGTAGCACTTTTGAAAGTTGTTCTTAAAGTTTATTCATATGATTGCGTTGCACTGAACTCTAAATAAATAATTTATCTTAACTGCTTAAATACAGTACAGTTTCACTTATAAATAATGTGTATGTTCAAGTGTGTGTGAGAGCCGGTGTGTGTATATGGGAAAAAGTATAAATCAAAAAACATGATTAACTTCAAAATAAAAACGTAATACTCTTAAATATCTTTAACTTGAACATGTCAATTAATTTTTAAAAAAGAATATCAAAATAGATGGTAATATCATTAGCCTAATTGCAAAAAAAAATATTCTTACAAATAAATAATAAATAAAGGGTTTGCTGATATTTCATGGGTAATCAATCACTTTATACATATATTTTTACATAAAAATACACCTAGTAAAATTTGCACAGCCATGCAAGTAAAAAAGTGACTCATAAGTTTAAAATCACCAATTTAACAAATTTAAAGACACAGTAAGCATTGATCAGAAATAAATATAATTTTCCTGTAAAGTAATTGAAAATAATTTTAATAATAGATTGAGAGTATGTGAAATGCTTATCTGTAAAGACACCAATGTTGAATGTGAAATAATCCGTCATCACAGAAGTGCAAAACGTAATCAAAGTGATATCTTGCCATCCATACAAAATACTAAATCACAAACTAGAACTCCGCGAGTCGGATGTGTCGCCTTGTGAACAATGTAGTTTTGGAGAAATGGCCAGGACAAAAATGAAATATGAAAAATAACAAAGGGCAATAACTAAAAAAATAATAAGTGCAGAGCAGCAGTTTCTGTACACTGCACTTCTTATCAATAAGATCTATCATTCTATGATGTTTCAAGTCCATAGCTTTCATACTTGAGGAAAAATGACCAGGACAAAAATAAAGTAAGAAAAGCAACAAAGGGCAATAACTCAAAAATAAAAAATGCTGAGTATCAGTTCTTATGCACTGCACTTCTTTTTAATGAAATCTATCATCCTATGAAGTTTCAAACCATAATTTTTATACTTTCAGAGAAATGGCCTGGACAAAAATTAAGTATGAAAATAAACAAAGGGCAATAACTCAAAAAATAAGAAATGCAGAGTACCAGTTCTTGTGCACTGCACTTCTTCTTAATGAGACCTATCATCCTATGAAGTTTCAAGTCCATGGCTTTTATACATTAGGAGAAATGGCCCGGACAAAAATAAACTATGAAAATTAACAAAGGGCAATAACTCAAAAATTAGGAAGTGCAGAGTACTGGTTCTTGTGCACTGCATTTCTTCTTAAAGAGATCGATCATCCTATGAAGTTTCAAGTCCATAGCTTTTTTAGTTGAAGAGAAATGGTCCGGACAAAATTAAAGTATGAAAATTAACAAAGGGCAATAACTCAAAAAATAAGAACTGCAGAGTACTGGTCATTGTGCACTGCACTTCGGGTTATTGAAAGAAGCATGCATACCAAGTTTGAAGTCAATCAGACTTATAGTGACTGAGTTATGCTCAGGACAAGCTTAACCGGACGCCGACGCCGACAACGATGCCGACGCCGCCGCCGCCGACAAAAGTAACCCCTATATGTCACCTTTTCAAGGCGACACAAAAACTTTACTAATTGCTCAAGAGGAAAAACTCCTGCTTCAGCTATATGTCCCAATAAGAACAGTTTCAGAAACTTTAATAAAACACACAAAATAGTTGTACATACATTGTGTATTTTTAAAAAAGGCATTTTGGGCTTTAATGAACCTTTAAATAAAAGACCATCTAAAAAAGGGCCCACTATTTTTAACTCTCAAAATATTGTGACAAATTGCCATAATAAAGACCAATTTCAAATATTGGCACAAACAATGCTAAAAAATTCCCAACATTTACATTTTGATTATCTGCAGTCTTTAAAATACCTGATTATACTTAACTGATATGTGCTGTAAAAAAGATACTTTTCAGATTCAAGATATTTCAAAGGCTTACTTATACTAGTTACGTTATTAAAGCTTTTCAATTTTAGAAATGTTCTGTTTCTTACAAGACATGTTATAAATATTGAAATAATATTTGGCTGATACATGTAAAGCTTTCAATAATCACAGAAGTTTTCTCATATAAAGAAATAGATCATACAATGTATCTGTGTTGTTAATATACCTCAAAAAGCATAAAATAATCTTCTAAAAATTTCATCAAAAGTCCTGCTAACATTTCACAAGAGTGACCATTTTTGATAATCACTAATTAACTAAACAATCATATGTAGTCTTTAAAAAAATATAGTATGCTTTCACAAATACGCTTTATATTCCAAATTTACTAGAAAACAAAAAATAATATTTTAAAGAAGAATCAAGTCTTATATGATACTAAAAAATTATAACTCCAGGGCACAAACTATCACAAAACAATATCAAACAGGTTCATCAATGTTATATGTTTAACTCAGTGAAGCATTTAACTCAGTGTAGCGTTTAACTGATTCTTCCATGGAGAAAGTTCCTCGTCTGAAGCATCTTGCACTTCGAGGAGACTGGTTTGATCCTGGGTCGGTGTTTTCTTCTTGCCACTCAGCGCGCTCAGCTTGGACAGAATACTGCCTTTCTGACTACCCTCTCTACTGGTAGGTTCGTCCTCGACACCACGATGTAAAGATATGTTGTCACTCTGCTGATCAGCATAAAATCTTTCCCAGTAACCAGTCGTCAATAGGCTCTCTTTTCTCGGCTTTCTGTACCTATAATAAAGAAATTTATACTATGAAAGTTCATGTAGATCTATATAACTTTAAAATTACCATCACAACATCTTCTAGTTTAATGAGATATTCTGTTATTTGTACTCCTTCCTCGTGAAAGTTTGAGGGAAGATATCAGAATAGTGAATTGAAATGACATTGTGAACATTCAGGAGCAGTCTGGAGTGTAGACAGTATCCCTAATTGAACAGACAATATCACTGACTAATAGGGCATAAAAAACTAAAATAAAAAAGTTTGATTTCCCGTCCAGCTCCCTCTCTCTCCAACTAGTTGCACTATGTACTAATCAATGAAAAAGAAATATAAAAAATTTCACTCTAAACTAAAATCAATCACAAAAAAAAAATATATAAACCAATAAACTGCCCTTGGCAATTAAGATATAGTGTTCACTTCATTTTTCTTTCCAAATGTAAACTTACAATTTCAGCATCAGGGATGAGCAGACGACAGACACACTAGAAGCGGCCATTGCAGCAGACGCCATCCATGGTTTCAGTGATACACCAAATGGTGTAAAGATACCTGTAAAATAAATAACAAAACTGTCTTAATTTTAATGTGATACACAACAAATGTAAAATGCACAGAAATCTAATAAAAATAAAATATTTACACAATCACTTAAATTTAATAGGGAAATTATTCCAATCAAATTCCAATCTTACTCTTAATGTGTAAAAATCTTGAGTTTTATATAGTGAAAAAAATATAAATACTATTACAATAACATCTACTTTCGCCAGTCTTTTTAATGTTAAAATAAACAAGTCATATTAGAGCCACCAGGTGCGGGACCACACTTCACTGTTTCTTATTTCCAAAGGCAAACAGATTGGAGGAAGAACATAGTTACAAAGAATTTTCAAAGACAACATCATTTTTCTTTTGTAGAGAATTTAATTAATATATCATATCTGACCCTGACAATCAAGGTATCTGACCTTGATATTCAAGGTTATACTTATTCAACATCAGCTTTTTCATTAGTGTTGTTTTGTACAACTATGAATCAAATTAGTCTTAGTCCACAAATAACAAAGTTATGACAAATTTAGCAAAATCAATATTTTGACCTCGACTATTAACACCATCGTGATATAATTCATCATATCCTTACACTCCAAACAGTGATTTAAAATCACTGTTTGGGATATATTATTTCTTAATGATACAACCAGGTCAAATAACATGGATAAGCAACTGGCCTACTACTCTACATGTGGCATTACCAAATTCCCTATAGATTCTAAAAGATAACAATATTTACCAGCAGCTATAGGAATCCCAATTATGTTGTACACAGAGGCAGCAAAGAAGTTCAGACGAATCCTGCTTACAGTTTTCTTAGAGAGCTGAATAGCTGCTGTCACATCCAGTAGATTGTTCTAAAACGAATATCAACGCATACAATTCTACTTTTTTCATTAGTTTATACAAAATTTATTTTACTTCAAATTGTGAAGGAAGCTATAAGCTTATAGACACACACTCAAATTCATTCCTGGAACAATCTTTATGCACAATTTGTCGAGTTTATGTTACAATCAACTTATCATTTTTTATCAAAGTGCTATTATTGTACGTTTAAAACAGGGTAGCTAAAATTCATATGTATATATAACAAACACAACTATGACAAAAGAAATTATTCATTGTACAGCACAAAGTTAGTGAGGAAATTATTTAAAGTGATAAAAACATACAAAAAGCAACACAAAATTTATTAATACCTGAAAAAAGAACAACATTTGAAATGTTGGGAAAAAGAGCAAAGCAAAACTATGGAGTTCTTCTACGTCTGTATTAGAACATTGATACTATTGGTTAACCTTGACAACTACAGCACACAAGAGGAGTAATGATGGCCTTATTATTATGGTGTTACTAGATACTGGCTTCAAGTTCTCCTTATATAATGTACAAGTAAATGTCATGGATGTAGGGTGATAAAAAATATTTAAGTACGCTCAAACATTTTTTAAAGAAAATTCTATAATGAATGGACAAAAGTATAACCAGTGTCAAAAACTATCAAAACAGACTTCCAGTTAATTGAGTCTTTAAACCCTTTTTTATAGGTTACTGGTAAACAATTAAAAAAGTATTCTATAAAACTTTACATTGATGAGAACAATATCTGCAGCCTCGACAGCTACATCGGTGCCTGTACCAATAGCTATACCAACATCAGCCTGGGCGAGGGCAGGCGAATCATTGACACCATCTCCTACCATAGCAACCTTCATTCCCTTCTTCTGTAGCATTTTGATCTTCTTCACTTTGTGTGATGGTAAAACCTCCGCAAAAACTTTCTGTATTCCAATCTTTAAATAAAGATATAAGCATCATTTAAGAGCAGTCAATGAAAGACTTAAGGTTCAATATTTGTTATAAATATTCATTTCACTAGTTTTTATTTCATTTCATTTAAATATATTTTTTCACATTTATAAAGACTATTTTAGGGAGATTAGTTACGTTAATCCTAGGAACTTTTCTCCTCCCTTATGATAAAATTAACATTACTTCTGAGGAAAATAGTCAATTAAAAAATCCAATAAGCTTTGATATCTAATTAAACAATTTCATGCTTAGAAAAATTGGTTGTACAGACAGTTGGTGAAAAAAAATGGTTTAAAATACCATGTTTTTCTGTATCTCGAACAGATAATGCAATAAAACTAGAAAGGTTACCTGTAATGTATTGTTCCCACATGAAATTAGTTCAACATATGTGAACAAGGAAATTTAAATTAAAATTGACAGATCAAGTCAGACATACAATCATGTCTAATTACAGATAAATTTTAACATCTAATCATTGCCTTGGAATCAAATTAAACCAAGCAATCATTAAATGACAGGCTTTTCTGGTTCTTAATCCAAACATTCATTATACAATAAATATACCTGTTGGGCAATAGCCTTGGCAGTTTTCTGGTTATCACCAGTCAGCAAGATGACCTGTAGCCCCATCTCTTTCAGTGTGTTGATAGCCAAGTGAGCCTCTGACTTTACAGTGTCAGCTACAGCCAACATGGACACGATCACTCCTGAAATAATTCATTACAAATTCACTTTGTATTTTGTTTTATGATAAGCTTTAATCATCATCAGAAAATTTCACTTTTTTCGAGACCTTATGTTGAATTCTTCTCAATCAAACAGAGTCTGCAACAATTTAAATTTTGTTGTTTTTAGTGTTCTTTAGAGATTCCATTTTTCTCTATTCTACCATCTATAGCACACACTTAAATTACTATCCGTTCATGATACAGAAATCAAAAGACGTATAAATACATGTATGTACCATCTATAGCACACACTTAAATAACTACCCATTCATGAGTCAGATATCAAAGTGACCTAGAAAAACCTACCATCTATAGCACAAAGGACAGCGGTATGACCCTGCTCCTCGTGTTCTGACATTGTAAGATCCATCTGCTCCGTCACATGTAAACCATTACGCTTCATCCATTCTCTGTTACCTATCAATACATCATACGGTCTCGTGGACGCAGCACCTGCCATTGTCATATCTGTCAAGAGATAAAAGTCTCTACAATACTTAATATCTAACCTTCTACATAACTAACAATAATACTTATGAAACTGGAGCATACATATTTTCTTGAAATTTTCAACTGATAATGTAGACATTGTATGATGCCATCTTATCAAGATGCATATAATACATATGGCACAATCTTTTATTTGAAAGTTTGGTGACTGTCATAAAGGGAGGTAATTTCTTGGCAAATAGAATTCTTTCTTAACCCTTTACCTCATATATACGAGAAACAATGCATTTTCGACCCCCCCCCCCCCCTTTTTTAGGCCTGAAATAGTGAAAAAATGTCCTATTTAGGCCCCAAACACATGTTTTCGTTTGAGAAATGTTGCTTAAAAAAGTGAGCACTTTTTCGGCGCCGCCCCCCATCCAAAAGATACATCAGGGGTTGCCAGAAGGGGGATGTGCCCCCTTCTGTTTGGGGGGTTTGAAAGGGGGTGGAGTCCCCCTCATCGCCAAGAAAGTTTTGGACTTGTGAGAGGCTTAAAATGACCCCAGGTCGATCATAAGGTAACGTGTAACCAACGCTGAAAAGCCTTTGACTCTATCTCAATCCCTTGAGAAGTTGCAGCACTTTGAAATAAATTTTGATGGAAAAAATCGAGACAAAATAGTGATTTTTGGCATAAATAGAGGATATTAAATGAGTGTAGTTTAATACTAAATTTATTGAACGAGTTGAATAAAATCATATTATGCGACCCTTTGGCGAGCATAATATTGTTTTATTCAAAAAGTTCAATAAATTTAGTATTGAATCTACACGAGTATAATATTCTTTTTTATCACATATATAAAATAAGAACAGTCAAATGTTAAAATGAGTAATTTTTCAATGACGCGCTGATAGTGTAACACTAACATTAGCGCGCTTTAACGCTATGTTTCTATATAGACCAAATGACGTCACGTCAAAGTGTTATTACACTAGTGTGATATCGTTTTTATTACATGGCTTTATTACACTCCTGCACCACTGTTTATGTGATAAATCTTTATAGCAGATAATAAATTGTTCTAGAACAAAAGGTTTAGCAACATAACTAAAGGAATTCCTTAAAGGCCCAACTGGACTATAAAAGCCAGCAGATGGCGCTATGGCAGGTTTCTTATTAATTTTATGCATTCTTCACTTCAGGGACCCTTTTTCAAAGATTTAAGATTAATAACCAAATGCATTAAAGTAACACTTGGCATGTTTGTAGGCATAGATATTTTTGATAAAGATTAACCAAAATTATTCAAAATATAACTTTGTTAAGTGTACATTTTGTATTTCTGGAAAAAAATACTGGCTGTCAAATTTGAAATTTGAATTTCCCTGGGAGGAGCCATGTGATCATTACAGGTCATGAACTTTCAGTAGTAAACAGAAGCACGTGGCAGTGTTTATTTCAGGAAGAGAGATTTGTAGCAGACGATGTATATTTCAGGGAGGGAGATTTTCAGCAGACGACACATTGGAATGCTGAATAAAACAATAACTTTTACTGACTTGCTTTATCAAATCCAACAAATTTACAATAATCTATTAATCTATGATTTTTTTTTAAATTTCAAAGTACTGATTTAACTTGTATTTGAATGGTTTAAACTTTATGAAAACAGTAAAAGTAACTTCCAGTACACTATATTTTGTTGTAAATATCTTGTAGTCAATTACATTTCACAAATGTTAATAAAACTAAATGTTGCATATCCATAAAAATTTTATACATTAACAGTTTAAAAATATTTTAAATTCCTGTCAAGAACATTTTTAGCAGGTTGTTCTTAAAAGAAATGCCCCATGTAAGGCACATCTTTTGGATTTTGATATAATTGTCTGACTTGATGAAGGACACATACAGCATTCCAGTGAAAAAAAAAAAGAAAAACAACTGACTCTGGACAAGATGACTTGATAATGTCTTTAATTAATCTTTGAGTTATATAAAACATTCATTAAACCTCTCCTGTGTAAAATCTGCTGTTTTTGTTTACATTCTCTCTGCAGGTTAACACTGCATGCTATTTATAGTTCAGGGTTTATAACAGACAGTTTTACATCACTGATTAGTCACACCCACAAATACTCGCTGCCGCGGCAGCAAATGTTGCCCCTTTAAATCAGTTATCTAATCTATATTTATTATGTTATATAAATGACATCATATGGAAAAGTCTCAAGAAAAATCAGCAAAGCACAGTCAGGAATCTGACCTAAGGTCTCAGGATTACTTCAACATGGTCCCTAACTTTTTCTTGCTGTATCTGTAAGTTCTTTTATCATTATATTTGTGATGTCATCTTTATTACCAGAGAGGCAAAGGCAAGTTATGGCTACTTTTCACCCTTACTGACTGATCATGTTTTTTTCTTATGATATATATTCTTATGGGAAATACATTTTTAAAGGCCAGTACCACCCACAAAAGAATGAATACATGTAAAAAGACGATCATAATATGGAACATATTTAAAATCACTATAATTTACCCTCAATTAGGAACACTTCTTCAATTGCCGTATTATGCATGACGTTATCTATCTTCACCCTCAAACTTCCTATCAGGTTCTTCCTGTTGTTAACACTAATCATGTCTAGTGACTGAAGAATGGATTCCAGGTTGCTTACAATACATTTGAGACCACATCCTGGTACTGCTTGAAAGTCGGTCACTTTTCCGAGACATTCCGACTGCAATGTCTGTAAAAACAATGAAATGTTCATTACAACTGTGACTGCACAAACATCCTGTCATATCATATCATTGAAGCAAAAGTGCTGCACAAACAAAATAATAAATAAACAACATTTCCCTTACTGCCTTTTTTGTAATGTAAAAGGTCTTGACATTGCTTCACTTAAAATTCAAATAAGTTGTGATAGGTTTAGTTCAAGTTGAACGAGATTCATCTTAATTTGAATCTCAAGGTGCAGAACTTCACATGCTGATCAACATTTCTGTACAGTTTGTTGACACTAGCTCAAGCAATTCTAGAGGTATGTGTGACACAACATGGCAACAGACTGTGGTTTTGCTTCTGACTTTCCTAATAATATTACACCCTATGACATTGATCAGTCGACTCCACTTATAACGTACTCGCTTCTAACGAATTATCGTTAATAGCTAATTGAATCTGAAATCCCCGCCTGATTCCTTCTTTATTTTATATTAAGTCATATTGCTAAATACATACTCGCTTAAAACGAATTTTGGCTATAGCGAACCATTTTTTCAAGTCCCAAATGGCAAAACAACACGTATATTTCCTCGGTTAAAACAAACTGTTATAATTGAAATATTTCATTGAGCTCAATTAATGGTCAATACATAAATATCGCCATACAATAATTATTCAATCGAGTGATTGCACATAAAATGCCTTGCATAAAATAACCGCTGTCATAAAAAACCCATTACACCGGTCACGGATCACAGGTATGGCTTTTTCACGGCAAATTTGCACACCCCAACCAAGTCAGCAAAAGTTGTTAATACTTTGCTTTTAGCAAATTTCGGATATTACAGACAATTTTTAAATGTCCCATTGAGTTTGTTATAAGCGGAGTATACTGTATTTGATATGGTGGAACACTTACGTCTTTTGCATATTTAACAATGGCTGAAGCAATCGGGTGCTCGGAGCTGGCCTCAGCTGTTCCAGCTACAGCGAGAAGTTGCACAAACGTACAGACTTTATCCTCCACAAACATTGCCACACGCGCAACTCTTGGTACACCATGGGTCACAGTTCCTGTCTTGTCAAACACTATAGCTTTGATCTGTAATATGCCGTGAGTATTGTTTTTATCAATATTCTAATGTAAGAATCAATATTATAATGTCAGAAAACACTGTTTTATTACAGAGACTATTATACATAAATTTTCCATCAACATTCATTTATTTACATGTAAATGTTTTTTGTTTTTTTAAACACTCATGATCAGACATTTGTTTTAACTTTTGAGCCATTTTTTTTCTTACATGGAAACTCTTTTATGATTTTAATTTTTATGATTAAAATTATTTTGTCATTTCTGTTATACTGAACATAACATAAAGTCAAATAATAAAAGTGTTTCGAAAATGTATAAATATTCACAATTAGCAACACTAATATGTTGTATTATGAGACAGAAGTACTATTCTAACACTTTATTATTCCTACCTTGCTGATATCTGCATGACAACAATTTCTGCATATTTTGACATTTAATAGGAGTAAATGCCTTTCACAAGTGCAAATCACTTTTCTTTTTTACACAAGAACATTTTTACCTTCTCTACCATTTACTAGTATATACTTCATAAAACTCTGAATTTAGTATGCTTTAAAGATGGGCTGCTTTAAGTACAACAACTAAATTCAATTAATATTAAATATTTTGATATACATGTAACAACATACCTTATGAGTAGTTTCCAGTGGTTCTCCTCCTTTAATCAGGATGCCGTTAGTAGCCCCAACACCAGTCCCTACCATAACAGCCGTGGGTGTGGCCAAACCTAGGGCACATGGACAAGCAATACTGAGTACAGTAATAGCGTACTGGAAAGCTTTCTGGAATATTATCTCCTCCCTGGTATAGTCCGATCCTTCCTGTATATATATATATATATATGAAAGTAGATATCTTTTCATCAAACAAAAATTTACAAAACATTGTAAGGAAAATAACCAATTTTCTTAGTGCATTCCAAAGAAACAGGAAATATTCTTATATCAAATCTCTCATTTTGAATTCTCACAATTTCAGAAGTTATAGAGGACTAGATAAGATATTCATATCAACTTCTACAATATTTCCTTTGTATTTACTGGTGGAAATAAACCAAAGATGCCTCTTTGTGCAGTATTTGTGGAACTAACAGGCACATGAGATAAAACAACAATCTTTCACAGGTAAAGTCAGATAGTATCCTCACATGAATAAATTAAATCCTGGCAAGATTTGAACATAAAGATGTAAGTAGAAAGTCATTTAAAGTCATCAGACATAACTATTTATAGTTCTGAAATAAACAGACATAACCATATATGGTTCTAAAATAAACAGACATAACCATTTATGGTTCTGAAATAAACAGACATAACCATATATGGTTCTGAAATAAACAGACATAACCATATATGGTTCTGAAATAAACAGACATAACCATATATGGTTCTGAAATAAACAGACATAACCATATATGGTTCTGAAATAAACAGACATAACCATATATGGTTCTGAAATAAACAGACATAACCATATATGGTTCTGAAATAAACAGACATAACCATATATGGTTCTGAAATAAACAGACATAACCATATATGGTTTTGAAATAAACAGACATAACCATATATGGTTCTGAAATAAACAGACATAACCATATATGGTTTTGAAATAAACAGACATAACCATATATGGTTTTGAAATAAACAGACATAACCATATATGGTTCTGAAATAAACAGACATAACCATATATGGGTCTGAAATAAACAGACATAACCATATATGGTTCTGAAATAAACAGACAACCATATATGGTTCTGAAATAAACATACATAACTATATATGGTTCTGACATAAACAGACATAACCATATATGGTTCTAAAATAAAGACTATCATACCAAATATACTGACTTACCTCAAAGTTTGGTTCTATAAGTTTGACATCAACATATCCTACAATGATCCAGGCCAATGCTGTCAGGAATGATAGGGAGCAGACTACAGGTACAAAATATCCAGCTATCTTATCTGCTACAGCTTGAATTGGTGCCTGAAAAAGAAATGAAATTTTATATTCATGTTTCAATCAAATTTAATAATTCTATCATATTCTTGTATGGCATATAAATGCTAAATGATTGCATAACTGCTGGACTACAAAAAACATCCACCATATTTACTTTTACTCAAAGAATACAATTTTGTGGGTTTTTTTTTCTTCAAAAGTTAAATTTCTGTATAGAACTTGAAGACTTCAGTCCTGCTCCAGTCACAACCATACTGCCTCTTATGGCACAAGCACTGGTTATCTACATGACATGAGAGATAAAAATAAGACAAGCTTTAAGTTTTTCTTCACAATCAAAGCTGAAATGAGCATGTTTAACCCTCACTTTGATAGAATTCAAAAAGCAAAACCTTTGTCACAAGTATAGAGCCAGGCAAGCCTGCACATCCATACAGTCTGACATGGCTTCTTTCTATTGGCTAACTAACTTCAGATTTAAGAAATTCAGCTGTCATATCGAGTGTTTAAATTTCAGAACAGAGGGCATTTAAAAAAGAACAAGAACCGGTTGAACCGGGTGATGCTCCCTGAGAAGGTTCTGGACACAGGAAAGTATAAAAAAAATGAACAAAGGGCAAAAAACTCCAAAATTAGGCAAAGCGGAGTTATGTTTTTATGCACTGCACTTCTATTTAATGAGATCTATCTATCTAAAAAGTTTCCTGATGATATCAGAGTTATGTCCCGGGTAAAATTCAAAGTGTAAAAATGAACAAAGGGCAATAACTCCAAAATTAGACCAGGCTTGTTTAGCTTCTTTAAGCATTGCAGCTCTATCCAATTATATCTAGCTACCTACCATGTTTCATGTTGATCCCTATTATAGTTTTAGAGTTATGTCCTGGACAAAGTTCAAAGTGTAAAATAAACAAAGGGGGATAATTCAAGGCGACTATATGCTCCCCGAAATTTTTCGGGGAGCATAAAAACTACAAAACATTATTCAAATTTGACTTTTCATAACAAGCATTGCCCTGAGGCTTTTGAACGGGTATAGGTTTATATGATATCATATATATACCAACTGTGACTTCTACGTACCTTAGATGTTTGAGCCTCCTCAACAAGTTTAACAATCTGTGCGAGTGTTGTGTCAGACCCAACATGTGTAGCTTCAATAAGTAGTAAACCATGCTGGTTGATAGAGCCTCCTATCATAGATGATCCTACAATATAACAATATACCAGTCAATAGTTGCTTTCAACATTAAAGAACAAAATCATTACACCTATTTCATGCACATGTAGCCAAAAAAGCTCTCTATCAAACGTTCATATATTATATTATTCATCTTTATTTCATGCTTTCCAGTGTTTTATTGTAATATATCAGATGATTATATTCTGATAAACCACTAGTGAAATTTATAAAATATAATTTTCACTGTAGCCAGACTATATCTGAATGCGGATGAAAAGAAAATCATAACTAAATGGAATAACAGGCAGAAATTAATGCCGTCGTGCGTAAATTTTGCTTATTTAGGAAAAGAAAGTCGATGTCATCATACATCATGTTAAAAACGTAACAAAATTAAAGAAATTTAGGACCTATATTTCAAAATTGATTATGTGACGTCATGATGTGATGACGTCACAAAGGAGAATGCGTGACGTTACGCAGCACAATCAGTAAAACAAGAGCTGTCCGTAAGACAGCGCGCTCGACTTTTTTAGTGCTTGCCTATAATACAAAACATTGACAGTTAAGGGCCATAATTCAAATAAAATCTTTGACAGAATTACCTTCTCCTGGACATGTTTGGGAATCATGATTGTAAACAAGTATTCCAACTTTCAAATTAATATCTCAAACAGTTCAGTCAAAAAGTGGACTGGTACTAAAAACTTAACCAAGATTCTAAGTCGATAAAAGGCCTTAATTTTTAAAACAAATCCTTGACAGAGTTACCTTCTCTTGCGTACAGATGGGGGTAATGATGTGAAATAGCATTAAAAGTTTCAAAGCAATATCTCAAAGGGTTAAGGCAATAAGTGGATTTTACCCATATTCAATGTATTTTCTAAGTCAAAAAGGGGCATAATTCTGTCAAAAACCTTGACAGAGTTATGTCCTCTTGTCTGTTGATGAAGGTCGTGATGGTAAACAAGTATGGTCAGTTTCAAAGCAATACCTCCAATGGTTTTGAAATAAAGTGAGGTGGTACAAAAAACTTAACCAAGATTCTAAGTCGATAAAAGGCCTTAATTTTTAAAACAAATCCTTGACAGAGTTACCTTCTCTTGCGTACAGATGGGGGTAATGATGTGAAATAGCATTAAAAGTTTCATAGCAATATCTCAAAGGGTTAAGGCAATAAGTGGATTTTACCCATATTCAATGTATTTTCTAAGTCAAAAAGGGGCATAATTCTGTCAAAAACCTTGACAGAGTTATGTCCTCTTGTCTGTTGATGAAGGTCGTGATAGTAAACAAGTATGGTCAGTTTCAAAGCAATACCTCCAATGGTTTTGAAATAAAGTGAGGTGGTACAAAAAACTTAACCAAGCTCAATACACTTTCTAAGTCAAAAAAGGGCCATAATTCTGTCAAAAACCTTGACAGAGTTATGTACTCTTGTCTGTAGATGGAGGTTATGATGGTGAACAAGTATGGTAAGTTTCAAAGCCATACTTGTAATACTTCTGAAATAAAGTGGGGTGGTACGAAAAACTTAACCAAGGTGTGACGCCAACGCTAACGCCGACGCCGGGGCGAGTAGGATAGCTCCCCTTTTCATAGAAAAGTCGAGCTAAAAATACTTAAAATCACTTAAAAAGCATGAAAGAAAAAGAAAATTTATTTGTTTTACATATAAGATTGAAATATATTTCATTTGTGAACACCAGCTGTTATATTTTCACTCGTGGCTATGCCACTCGTGAAAATATTGCATCTGGTGTTCACTCAGTGAAATTATATTTCAATCTTACATGCAAAACAAACAAATATCCTCTATGTATCATAGTTTGGAGACTTTACTATTGCAAATGTGTCAGAGTTAAATTGTATATTTATATATGCACAGTGAATTAACTGGAGTGCATGTATTAGTTACCTACAGTAGTACACTCACTGGCTGTCTTAAGCATGCTCGTTAATTGGCTTATTTTTTTCTGGGGTTTACTTATTGTGATGACAGGGAAAGAGATAACAACAGAAAAGTCATATTCAGATGCTTTTTAATATTTTGACGACAGGGAACGGGTTTTAATTTTTTATATTTTAAAACACTCAGCATTTTTTTATATTTCAAAACACTCGGCAATCTGATTTACATTCTTACAAATCTGATAGCCTTAAGTTTCGATGCTCTTAATATTACATACAAAATAAGACTCTCTCTAAACTATGTCAATTGGAATTAGCACTTTTTTAATTTTGATATAATTGAAAAAACTTTCATATGTATCTATAAACTACTGAACATTACTCAAGTTTGATAGTACACAGCCACTTACCGACAGTTTTGTCAACTGGCATAGATTCTCCAGTTATAAGAGCCTCGTCACATGATGATTTACCATGTACAACTTTACCATCTACTGGTACCTTTTCACCTGGCACAACCTACAACAACAACAACAACAATTACAAGTCTTTAAAATGCTTAAATAATGCTCAAAAGTATAACAATCATTCAACACAAAAGGTTTTTCAAAGATTTACATCATAATTCACTGACTTGCATACAGTAACAATGTATCAATATGACATGGATGCTTCAAATATTACAAGTAATCGATTGATGTACCTTTATCAGATGCGCGAACAAGATATCTAAGCATTTATATATGAATAACTGGGAGTTTCCGATCCTTGAAATTAAGATCTGTGCTAATGTATATAAAAGCTTTTCTATTGGCTTGCCCCTGATGGTGTTTGAACCCACTCGGTCACTAATCCTTAGAATATAAGTCTGACGCATTAACAAGTCGCCATTCCATCACTCATTTTACATTGACAGCATCACAATTCTTTTTTAAAAAATACTTTACGTTTTCTATTAAAGTTTTTCATACCAATGAAACATTCATTTTGTCAGTTTTTGTTATGGTATGGGAAATAAGATAACATTTGACAAATATCAATATAAACTTAAATAAGTCTTTGAACAAGATATAAATGATGAACATTGAGACAAGACTTTGGTATATAAATGTACCTTCAGTATATCACCCCTCTGTACTAGATCTACTGATATGGTTTTCTCACTGATAATGGTAAACTCTTTATCCAGCTCCACTAATACAGCTTCAGATGCCTGCAGGGACATTAACTTAGCAAGTGCTTCTGATGTCTTACCCTGGAAAAATAAAATATATTGTCTCAAAAAAAAAAAGCTCAAAAGGATAATGATCATTAAAGGTTTTTCAAATATTCAAATCTCAATTCACTGACTTGCTTAAACTAACACTGTATCAATAGGACATATAAATAAAACCTACATTATAAGATCTACTTTTGACCTCCCTTTTTTACTTAAATTTCATTGTTTTTTATTTCTTTTTATGTTTTTTTTTCTGCTGCAGGGTGTGTATATTCCGTATATACTTTGTTTCTACGGTTTACATTTCAAGTTACAAAATATCAAGAATTTACAAGGATATGTTTAATTCATCAAATTACAGAAAAAGAGGGCCTTGTCATTGAATTAATAAGTCAACAAGGAATACATGTACACTGAATTCTTTTTGTTTTATGAAAGGAAATTTCAAAGATATAGTCCAAAGGTTTGTTGTTCTATTCAGGTGCCCACGTGTGCCTAAAATAATGCATGGAACAGCACCTATTGTTCTCTTTTACTGCTAAGCATGAAAGCTGCAGTAACTTAAATATTGCCATTGGGTATAACCGTATTGAAACCAAACCCATCAAATTCTCTCAAAAAGAGCACCACATGCGGCAATAACACCTGTCTGTAAAAAATTGTTAGTTGAAAAGGGGCACAACTCATTTTTTTTCTTCAGAATTATGCCCCTTGTCTAATAACTGCACCTTATGATGATAAGCAAGTATTCCATGTTTCATGTTGGCACATTTTGCAGCATTTGACTAATGTTCTACATTTAAGATTTTACACAATGACAGTAAGGCAGCAGTGACTATAACAGTTCGACTTTTTAAGCTCAAAACAGACAAACTAAATAAGAATTTTTCTAACCCTAGCAAAATGTTTTATCAATCTAATATCTTCATAAATAATGTTTCCATACCTTAGCAATATGTTCCAGCCATCTTCCAAGAGATATAAACACCATCAACATGGGTGTGGTCTCAAAAAATGTCATCGGTGAGAAAGGTTCATGTAGACCAATGGCTGCCAGTACAACGCTCACAGAATATGCGTATGATATAGTCGTTGCCAGGACAACCAGAACATCCATGTTGGCAGATTTGTGACTCAATGCTTTATATGCTTGTATGTAGAAATAACGACCTCCAATGAACTGTGAAATGTAAAATATTGATATTGACATTTTCAAAGACCATTTTTTAAAAGAAGTTCTTAAACAAATGTAAGTATAATTCAAGCAAACTAAATATGGACTTTAAATCAATGACACTCAAATTTTTTCAAAAAACAAACTTTTAATAAATGAAATTATTAGCAATTATGTACTGAAAACTTTTTATTTAAGTTGTTCCGACTTAGTAAAAATATAACATATGGTGTACGGACATAATCCCCTTCGGACAAAATCCCCTTCGCATAACATATAATCAAGTTATTTATCATCCCTCAATGTGATGTGACCAGCCAATATAATAAAATTCTTACATGGTATGATATTGTTATGGTAGTTATCTTCAGAGTCTATAATATAGGCATATTATTTGTTCATATAAAATATTAAATGCAGCAATATAAACTAGCTACCTGCACTGGTGTTGCCAACAAAAACATTAGTAAATTGTCCAATGAGAGGCCAGGAATGAGCATATACTGGTTGCCATGACCACCAGTCATCATTTTTCGTGTGGTCGTCTCCGTCATGTTGGAGCTGTTATCATGGCTGGTATGGTCCTCCTCCGCCTTGGCTGGTGCAAACATAAAGTACATCATAATAGCCATAGCTGGTACTCCAAATATCAGTGACCATAGAAATGATGTCCTCCATCTGTACGGGAAACATAACAAGAAGGTTTTAGCTTAATATACATAGCCATTGCTTTAATATGTCTTCCATAAGGAGATATACATGTATAACACCATGTTATAGAAGACAATATTCAAAGATTATGCAAAGTCAACAACAGTATCATTGCTACTCAAAGAACAAAATGTATGATTTCACACCAAATTTAGCCTCTGTAGAGCCACATAACTCAACAACTACCAAACTTTTTGTCTACTAAAGGGTGTCACTTTGCAGAGGTTTTACTGTATATCCGATCTGAAGGATCATTTGGTAACATAAAGAGTCCTTAACAAAGAGATTTGAATGTATTAAGAAGTATCAAGAATTTGACAAGGGTTTAAAGTATGAGCAAGTTTTCTTTTCTCATGAAATATTTGTTTGATTATTGAAAGACATCCGTTTTCACATAATAATAGAGCAATGCATTACAAAAATAGCAATGTGAAATTAACCTATGATGTAAAATCCATTGCACATTTATGTAATGTCTAGCAAGAGAGGTGTTTTCTATTTCTAAAGTACTGTAGCCTGAGAAATCAAGCATTTATATGAATTGTAAAGGCAAAAACAGCTGTACTGTATAAATACATATTTGTATATGCAGGTTTAGACCTATATTATATCCCCGGTCTTGTTGACTTAACCATAACTATCATCCCTGTTAAGTAAATAATGTTTCTTATCCTCATACAGAAAGATGTTTCTCTACATGAAACAATTGCACCAGATGTTCTATAAAAGATATAAGTCCCTATATGTTAAAATAACCTTCATAGCTACAATACCAAATGTACTATCTGTCAATAATCAAATAATCATTTTCACGTTCATTGTATAGAAAGGCGTGAATCTAAAACTAATTATCTTAACCAGCTGTCACAAACAGCAAGAATGTTTTTTTTGTTTTTTTATTTTATTTTCATCCTTACACAAGTAATGACATTGCCTCACATCGATGCTTGTTTCAATAATGAAACAAATTCGTAATATCACCCTGTGATATTACATTCCTACCCTAACAAATTTCTTATCAAAGAATGACATACCAAAGTCCTGCATCTAAAATATATTTTGGGGAACTCACAGGTCCTTGCCAAAGACACTTAGCAAATTTTTTCTGGTGATAAACAGATTACTTCTGGTACTGTACAACTGTGGAATCAATTTAACTGTGTCACACAATTATCACTGTTAGATTGTGTCCGTTAAAATAAATATCAGATGTTAAGGTTGAGTGCACAATCTATCTTTATAACTATTTAGTAAATCTCTGACATCTGTATCAAGCAATCAATTCTTTTGGGTCCTTTGTTTTTAAGGTTTACTTTCAGTAGTTTGATAGGGTGTGGTTGCAAGTTTGAATCAAAGCAAGATAGGATTTGTTTCTGATGCTATAAAAAAAACTAAAAATTTCATGACATTGAAAGGTAATAATGTTTACTTCAGCTCCCATCTCATTTAACACTCCCACCTCATTTAACACTATCTTTCATGGGCTTACATTATATACTACATTATATATTACAACCATCCGAGGGATGTGATAGGTATATACTGTATAGAGTACAACCTTCTGAGGGATGTGATATGTAAATACTGTATAAAGTATAAACAGTTTACCTTTTGATATCATCCCTGTGGTCATATCTGGACGCGTTGTTATCATGGTCTGTATACAGAGATGCTTTAAATCCAAGACCCTGAAAATATACAGTAATTTATATACAGCTTATTAAGATATTACTACATTTCATGCTAAACATGCACATAAAGATAGCAAATATTTTCTTTCACAATGTAGGAAAAGATTTTAGATCTTAAGAATTTGATCGGTCCCAGGACAGATCCTTCGACTATTCTCAAGAGTAAGTAACATAAAAGTCAACCAGGAACTGTGGGACATCTTCTCAACTATTTCGAGTGCTTGTTTTTGTAAGTTCGCAAAGAGAATTCAGTAAATATCCACTCTTCAATTATGGCTCATGGTCTGTCATCTAAAATCATGGCCTGGAAGACAATTGTGTAAGGTTTAAGTGAAAACCTTTTATTGCTGTATTGATAGAACTTGCATACAAAACTGTATCCAGCCTAAAAAGAGACATTCATTTACTTGAATTTTCATAGGCATAAAATATTTGTACTATAGATAGTTAATTGTTATTTGTTTCTGGAGGAGTGTTGTTTTTTAAATCATTTTTTCTCCTTATAAACTTAAAATAAATAGCAGAACAGGCAGTAAAACCTGGCTGCAAGACTAACACAATTGTTTAATCTGATAACATCAATACCTGTATTATTTGAATGATAGTTCTTGGACCAACATATTCAGTATTGTAGACAAATTTTCCCTTGTTGGTTGCTAGGGCAACCTGGGCACTAATCACGCCATGTTGTTTCTTTACAGTTGACTCAATCAGATGAACGCAAGACGCGCAAGTCATCCCGGAAATCTAAAATTATAAAAAAGTTTAACAGTCACACCACTTAATTTATGTTAATGATTTGTCCTACGTGGAATTTGGGAGATTCTATTTAAATTTCAAAGGTATTTCATATTTAATCAATGAATATATCAGCCAAAAGTGTAGAGTCTAGTAATACTACATACATTATATATGTACAAGCAAACAAAAAGAAAGATCTAAATTAATTTCACTATAAAAAGAATGTAGGTATTTTCTGTGTAATCTGGTTCATTCAAACTAAATTTCTTAACAAATTAATGTTCCAATTCATCACAAACTTCATTGGTTTACTATTAATATTTCATCATGATAGTGTTACTTTGAAGTGTGAATTAATGGCAATATAATAATTCTTTCTATTATATAATACACACTCGAACAGTGCCGCTACTTACACTTAATTGATTATAAGATAAATGAAATATTCAAAGCAACAGTAAAGCATGGACAATAAAAATATTATTGTACACAGTAACAATGAAGTGAATAATACCGTCATAAAGTTGACTTTTATCTCTCATTCTTTATTGATCAACAACATTTATATTTCTTTTACCATGTCATGACTGACATAAAATAAAGGGGAACAGTGGCCTAGTGGTTAAAGAGTCTGCCTCTTAACCTTGGGACCATGGGTTTGAGCTCCAAGCGGGTCATGACCATGTTTTTTCACGACTCCAGTCTGATGGTTCTAGAAACAGGACTTGAAAGTGATTAATATAATTTGTAAGAACGTGTTTCATGACAAGATTAAATAAATTTGTTTAAACTACGTAAAATGAAGGTGTCAATACATCATCAAGAATCATTGCTATACATATGAAATACTGACAACAGTAATCAGTACTTACATTTAGTTCCACAGTGCCCTGACCAGCTGACTCGGATTCCATCACAGTTGAGTTAAAACCAAGGCTTGATATCTTGTTGGCTATCTGTGAAGGTAAGATGTACGAGGCATCATACTTCACTTCTGCTTTCTGTGCCAACAATGCCACAATCACAGACTTTATACCTGAAAACAACAACAACAAACATTTTAATAAATATATTTCATAATCAGACAAAGAAAAAATGTTATTCTTTATACAATTTCTGAAAATTTCATTCATGGTTGTATGTGGACACAGTTTTCTTTTCTTTTTTTAAATTCCAGAATAAGGCATTTTTAATATTTTCTAAGGCCGTTAAGGAAAAGTGGCAGATTAATTTCTAGCATAATTTCAGATAAGACTGAATTTGTAGAACCGTCTGTAAGCAAACCAGATAGTTTTGTCACATGAAATGTTTCAGCATTTCCATGGAATGCGAACAACAAGGGCAAACAATTCAAAGTATGACACCTTTTGCCACTTTGCTTGCTAAATTGGTAGCAATAAAGTAAATAATGGCAGTAATGGGAATGTCAGATATATGTCATCTATACAAAGTTTTAACAGGAAATATGGCCTATTATTATACAAGTAACATTAAAATATTTTATACCGAACAATTGGTAAGTTGATAACATTTATAATACATTTATCCAGATAACCATTAATGTCAAATAGAATGTATTTATAGCAGACATGGGGTAATCGTAATCGGTAATTTAATTTAATTTAATCAATTACAATTTTTTGAGTAATCACAGTAATCAGTAATCATATTTTTTTTCCTGTAATTTAATCATAATTTAATCAATTACATGACCAATTAATCAGTAATCACAATGATTACATGTATGATTACAATACATGTTAAGCTAAAAAAAATATTGCTGAACAAACATACATATAAAGGTTAAAAAAGGATCCAGTGTCAATGCCTACTAATTGTCTTAGGTAGTGTAGGTGAATTAAATGCAGTCACCACCCAGGTCAGATTTGATGACACCTGTGTTTTAATAAGGTGATGAAAAGATCACTGACAGATTGACCCAATACATAAATGATTGTCACAATTATACCACTTAAATTTAGCTGTGAAATTATAACAATGGCCTGGATAGGTATATTATCACTTATTGAGAAGACTTTACAGGTTCAGTAAAGAGCATGTATAAGCTGCAATTACCGACAAAAGTGAGATATGGTTATATTTTCTGTTACATTTTCTGTTACATTTTGGTATTGTTAAGTCCACGTAGAAGCAAAAAGTACAAAAAGATTTTCATCATATCGAAAAGAAAGTAATACGCAAGCATGGCAGGAAATATGCCTACTGTTTTTAAATACTTCATATTGCCAAAAAAAAAATTCCTGATGATGGCAATGTGAGAGCTAAATGAACACTTTCTTATATATCAGGAAATGTTCAGCATTTCATAACTTATGTACATGTAATCAGTAATCATAAATGTAATCTGATTACTCCTGTCAGTAATCAGTAATTTAATCAATTACAATGTCAAAATGGAGTAATCAGTAATTTAATTTAATCAAGCATTTTGACAAATAATCATAATTTAATCGATTACAATTGTCAAGTAATCGCCCCATGTCTGATTTATTGTCAGTTAAAACCATATCATATAAACTGAAGTTCTGTATACCCACTGACTTATAGCTGTTCACCTACCTTCCACTTTCATCAGATTTTTCTCTATACTCGCCACACAAGATCCACAGGTCATACCCGTTACCTTGAGGAAACATTTGTCATATTCTTCCTCCTCATTGGTACCTGGCGTATACCTCACACTTTCAGTCTTCTGGTCAATTATCAGGGAACCATTCACTGTGCTGGCTTTAACATGAACTTGCTTTGGTGACAGTGCTTTGGTGTTTTCTAAAAAATTAATATTTACTGATAAAAAAAAGTAACATAAAAACATCTTATTAAAATAATATTGTAGTTTCAAAGGAAATTTTTATGCACCATGGTCAGGGCTTAAAAAACCAAAAAACAATCACAAATTGTTATAAGTAATTTAGTAATAATAATCATAAAGTTATGATGTACTCATGATACCCCATTTGTTCTGTTACTCAGCCCAATAAATCACTACAAATTAATACCCGAACCGTTCTGTCTATTACTCATCCAACACACAACAAAGTCACATCCCATTTGTCCTGTTACTCAGCCCACTCCCAACAAATTCATATCATTATTGTTTTACCTATTACTCTTCCAACATATAACACATTTCATATGATACCCATTTTGTTTAACCTATTATTCAAATGTCATACTTTAATTTATTTCATATATTTCACATGCTAATTGTTTTGTCTATAAGTATGCAATAATTCAAATAAAATGATAAGATTATTTTGCCAAATAAAATTCGTTACAAGTCAACTTTATTATAGCTACGTGAAATTTGTACTCTTATTCATTTATAACATTTCAAAATGTTCAAATTAATCAATTCTCTTTGAAGTTATAAGATGAGTTTTGTATCTTCAAAAATGAAGACCTATCTATTAATCATATATGCCACAACTGCCACAGAGCAAAACAACATGTGAAAGGTATGTGAATGTTACAGTAGCAATAAAGGAAGTTTTATCTTGTTTTAATATACTTCAATTTAATATCTGAAATGTCAGTTTTCCATTTTACCCACTGTTAAATATTAGACGTGCTACAACATCTCCACATTTACTCTCATGCGCATCTGTCAATGTTTCACTACCACTCACTTGTTTGATCAATTCTCTGCTTAGACACAAAGCTAGCCCACATAGCTGAATCGGTTAGAGACTTTCAACATAGGTTCGATTAGATGTGGGTACGAGGGAGGTTGCACTTGGATAAGTCAACTGACCCAATAAAACTATTTGTTATGGATCTCCCATTTTGCCACATTTTTGTCTTTTAAAGAAATTTACAACCTTAAGATCACTTTAACAGACTAAAGATATGCCCATTTCTAGATGTTTGTTAAAATAAGTCCTAGACTTAATTTTTTGATAGACATAGGAATAAAAGGTTTAGACAATTTCTATTGTATGAAATAAATTTAATAAATATTTAAAAAAAAACAAAAAACAACTGGACCTTTATCTTGCAATGTTTGTGACACAGATTTGTCCTGTTTATCTGAAGTTATAAAAAATATAAACTAGTTGCTGGAGGTCAGTTTTTCTTTTTGAATTCAATGAAATATCTAACAAGCTCCTTCAAATAGTTTGCCAATGATGGACTTTTTCATTTAGATTCCTTTTAGTAGAGGCAATAATTTCTCTATTTTTAGTGTAACTGCTTGCTTCACTATTCTTGCGACAAAAGATACATACACTAACGTTCTATATTGAAAAGATATAAAATTAGCATTACAAAATGTGATCATACCTTTAACAGAAGCTTCAAAACCCATGTCATCAACAGCATCAGCCAATGCTTGAGGAGTTGTTCTGTTTGGATAATAGACAATCCGACCCGATTCATTCTCTAGCGACACCTTTATACTCTTCACTGACCCAAGTTTGGAAATATTCCCTTCAATTGATTTCACGCATGACTGACAGGTCATTCCTTTTATACTGATCGTCACTGCTTCAGTATTTTCAACAGAACTTGGAACTGGTGTTTTCGAAACCTTTGCTTCAAAGCCCATATCATCAATCATCTCTGCTACAGCCTCCGGACTTGTCAGAGCTGGATCGTACCGAACCCAGGCATTGTTATCTTCAAGTGACACCCGAATTTGTATAATTCCAGGCTTCTCTGAAATCGTTCCTTCGATGTTTTTCACGCAAGACATACAGACCATCCCTCCAACATCGATCATGGTTTCTTTTTCCTTTGCTTCAATAGATGCTTTGGCCAGTTTATCAAATTCCAGGTCAAGGGAGCTTTCTCTTGGTAGAGTCGCCTCAAATCCCATATCATTGATCACATCTTTCAGGGCAACTTGGGTAGTAACATTCGGCTTGTAGATGATGAAAGCCTCTTTATCTTGTAACGAGACACGTACCTCCTCTACGCCTTCCTTCTTCTTGACAAAAGACTCGATCGTATTGGCGCAATTCTGACATGTCATTCCTTCTACATGGATTCTTGCTATCAAGGAATTGGACTTCCTAGCCGTATAGGCATCAAAACCCATGTCGCTTATCTTATCTGCAATAGCATCGGGTGTTAACTTCACAGCATTATAGCGAACGTAAGCCTGCTTTCCTTCAAGGTTGACTTTAATGCTTTCAATTCCATCAACCTTTGATATATTTCCCTCAATACTCTTGACGCAGGACATGCATGTCATTCCATCAACATGTATGGTAGCCTCTAGGAGAGGTGAAATGCGTCCAGCACTTTCTGCTATTGGTGAAACCGTCTTGACCTTAGAAGGAAACCCCATATCATCAATGCTCTCAGCTATTATCGGTGGGGACGTCTCCGTGGGACTGTAACTGACATGAGCCTCACCAGAATCCAGGATCACCTAATGAAGACAAAAACATACAAAAAAAATAATTAAAAGCAGTTTATTACCATAATATATATTTTTATCCCTTAACTTGTTTAATTTTCTTAAATGGACTGGTCAAGCAGCAATTTTTGGAACTATACATTATAATTTTTTGGATTTATCAAGATGAAAATTATGAAATTGGTCAGCCAATAGTATTATAAAGACCTGTCAGACTGCACACATGAGCAGGCTGGCCTGGCTCCATACTGGTGGCAAAGGCACACTCTCTTTTCCATTCCAGCAGCAGGACAAGGGTAACTGTTGTAATATAGCTACATCCTGGTGTTAAAGGTGGTGAATACTTTAACGTAAATAAGTCATTCAACGGATTGTTTTTTAACTAGAATAATTTATTCATTTATCAATGTTGTTAAGATTTGACATGGATGATGTTTCAGAGGCTTCTATTACAGTATACAAGCATCAAACATACTGCATAGTCTACAGAATTTATTTCAAGCTAGTGACAGATACATAGAAGTTACCAAATATGTAAGTTAAAACAATTTTTTAAATTCAAAACATGAAAATAAAATAAAATTTGGTTTCAACATGATCTCAACATGATATCAGCAATGTCTTTTATTAATCGCCCTCCCACCCACACTCTCCTACTTCCCCCACTTTCCCTTAAGGCAGCTAGAGTAAAAATTCAGAGCTCATTAACATCTGCAATATTTTCCCTATAGATGTATTGTGACTTTGTCAGATAAAATTGGTTCCATGTATCTGTATATGAAATAACAGGGTTGTTTATTAAGGTGAGTGTTGTTTACATCACAAGATTTTATCTACAAATATCAAGATAACATTGATTGAAGCATCCTAGTCCGACATCACAGGCTGCAATAAATGGTTTTAACAATGTATCTATTTAATGATGAGCTATACTGGTCGGGGACCATCAACTCGACACTTTATGAACATTTTTCCATACAGATTTATTACGTAGAGATCTGAAAATTTGACACAGTACGGCTAGGTTCTTCTCCTAACTAACAAACTAGTTTGTATATTTCTATCTATGTCGACAATTACATCTGAGGCCCATCAAGAAGAGTATTTAAATTACCTAAATTGAACAATATTAGTACAGCACCATGTGTCTGGACAGATATCACCTTGATTTATTTCGATAAAATCTTGGGTGTTTTTATTTTCTATTTTTAACATGATATACAATATTTTGGCAGCAAATACTGTTGTTATGGTTATTCTATTGTTTACTCTGCAAATGATTATAGCCCATATAAGAGGTCAGTATTGCACTATTGACGACCAAATTTTCAATAAAATATTACTGTTTACAAAAGTTGAAATAAATTTTATGAATTCATTGTTGATAAAAAGGTGATATATAGATCGACAACCACTGAACAAAGAAAAAAAACCAAAATCAGGCATTTTTGTTTGGTGGTTTGTTGTCTGGTTTTGGTGGTTCCCAACCAGTAAGATACCCAAAAATATTTATTAGTTTATCCTAAGATAAACCAGAATCAAATAAATCAATATTTCTATATATTTTGAATTATGGTAAAAACAAATTTTTTTGAACGATAAGTGTAAGGCAAGAAAGAGAACATTTAAATATCCTGTATTTTTCAAAATTCTCTAAATCTATTTTCATTTGTTGAAAACATTTTATTTCCATGAAGAAAAAAATCCATGTTTCAAGACAAACCCGTTTTCATGATGTATAATCTATGTAAATATAAGAAAACAAAGCAGAATCTGATGGTGAATTTAAATGATCCAAAAAAACATGTTACACGTTTTATTGCGGTAATCTGCAGCATGTAATAATGAATATTGACAAAACTACGTGAACTGATAAAAAACGTGTTTCGTATCACGTTATTGCTTATCTGCGTAATTTGTAAACGTGACTTTGACAAATTCAAATAAATAAAAAGTTATCTATAACAACCTTGATAATTTGTTTAAATTGTTAATGTCAACATTTAATTTCAAACTATTTGTTTAATTTGCAAAACACAAACAATGCACATAACATGTATGAACTAAGTTTACAGGGTCTGGCATTAAGATAACTTTGTTTTAACCTTTCATTAACAAATGATTCTATTTATACCAGTTTAATTGAAGAAAGCTTATATTACAGGGCTTTCGTTAATGGATGTTTGGGAGTCATTCACTCCATGATTTTGGCTTGTGACACTCAAAATATAATACTTTTCCTTCTTTACCTATATAATGTCACTTCCAATGTCAGACATTTTCCAGTCTCTGACTTCCAAATTTTGTAATTTAATGGAAGCCCTTTATTTATTTTAGCAACACAAATTTAAGACATTATAGCAGGTGTATTTATGTAAAGTGTGTTCTTTGAATTTTTATAAATGACTGACAAGTTCTCCATAACAAAATCTGAGGACAAATTGCATTGTATAATTCGGACCATATAATTATGGTAATTCTAGGAGCTTGAACTTACAGTGTACCCAGGATCCATAAAACTTAATATAGTAAAATACTAACCTAAACAGACTCTCTGAATAAAGGTTAAACAAAACTGAACACAAAGTATATTCATTTTGTCCAGGTTATTAACTATGACAATTTGTAAAGTATACATTCTATAACCATAGCAACAGGATCACTTTATATTTTTCACATCATCCTTTGCTAAAAATGTGACAATACATTAAAGCAAGTGCATATAAAACATAAGACTTTAATGATATGTAATAGATACCTTTAATGACATCATCCGAATATATTTTGGTTTATATAATAGTGCTGGTATATCTATCTTAGTGTTGAGTTTTTTGAGAAAATTTTAAACATGTATTCAGATTTACACTAAAAATATAGTGCAAAGTCACTTGACTATTTCCCCTATATTATGGACCATCATTGCATTGGTATATTATTTTTATAAAAAAAATTAATATAAATTATGAGATGGCAGCATAACAAAGAGGAAGACTCTTGATCAGTATTATTCATAGGCATGAACACCCGGTACTTAATTAATTTCTTTTTTGGCTGGGTTTTGACATTGTACCAACACAGTAAAGGTCATATGTTGACATTCTAGCTTTACTGGAGAACTAAGACCTCCGTCCATTTTTTCAGGCATGACGATGGCACTTGAGTAAAACCACCAACATTGTTTTATTAAGCTAGATTCTTCACATTAAAGAATTCAAAGTCCATGATATAGGATTGACAAACCCAGAACGATGAGGGCCAAGTTCTTTGAAGTCAACAACCTTAATCATCTGGCCACAGATGCCACTTTACTAAATTTAAACTCACATAACATTAACAACCCTTTAACTATCCTTTAAGTTTGGGCGCGATCATTTTCTGAATAAATTGATGGGATTCAAACTTAAGCATACTGATACACCAGTATAAAACCAAGGTATATGACCTTGGTGACCTTAAGTCAATGGTTATACTTCCCTCTACTTCACTTTCATATTGGCTCAAAGTGACAACATATTACGGACATTCACAAATTTATTTTGACCTTTCATCTGTCACAGATATCATAAATAATCTGTTAATTTGCCATAGGCTACAAATGTATTACTTAATTGATGGTCTGAATATCTTCAATTATACGTATTGTTGTTTCAAGGTCTCGTTTAAATCATAAGAATTTAAATGTTACTGAGCTTTGTTCCTCAGAATACTGTACTAAAAATAACATTAATTTTGAGCAACAGTATCACTTTGTTATAGTTCATTCATATTTTTTCCATATGAATAAATTTCAGTAATTTTTTACAATGCTCAGTTATTGTAACTTAACAAGGCATCAAGCCAACAAAATATTAGGGGTGGGTTTTACATTGCACCAACACAGTATGGGACTTTCCAGTTTTACCGTGGAGGAAGACCTCAGGTGTCCTTCCATATATTATTTCAGGCACAAACAGGCACAATGACACTGTAAAACACATTGACGTTTCGTAAGCTAGTTAGGGATAGTTTCCTCAAGATCAAAGAATCCAAAGTCCCTGTCGAGATTTAAACCCACAGCTAAGAGGGGCAAGTGTTTAAAAATCAACAACCTTAACCCCTACAGAGACCACTATGATGCAGACACTGAGCTAATTCACAACTACAATTAAATCATCTGGCTTAATGGATCTTGATATCTACAAATTTCAGTCAACATTTTAATACCGATTTGGCTAAGAAAAACTTAAAAAGCTTCAGAAATTATTTTCAAAGCAACAACTTTAAAATGTTTTGCTATCCATAAAAATCAGAATATGTTTGATAAATACAGATATCAAGAATTTTTTTTAAGTTAGATCTACATCTTAGAATAATTTAAATTACCAAAAAAATTGAAGAGAACGTGATGTGTATAAATATGTAATCTTAAGATTATTAAGATAATTATGTTCTTTATGAAGTTGTATTCTTTATCAAACCCCTTCAATCTTAATTAATGCTTTATGTTTATTGTTGCCACATTAATTTCCTAATGACATTAAATGTGATAAAACATACATGTTCAGAATAACATTATTATTTTAAATGAACATAAAAGTATGGAATGAAAAAGATATCTTAAATACAAAATTAAGAACATTCAGAAATGAAAATTGAATATTTTTATTTCAATTTTTTTGTTGTTGTTTTCAGAGTGGTTGTCATACCTTAATGGTTGTGATTTTACGGTGACTTATTCCAGTTTTACTTAAGTGGAAGAGAGTCTCGGGTGCCTTTCAGAATATTATGTTGCAACTTACAATCCTACCTGTCTGAATAGTTCCTGACATGAGCGAACAAATTTTTAACAACAAAATAAAAGGGGCAAATCAAATGACCATAACCATGGGCCAAAAACATTTCATTGAAAATTTTCTTTTGTTTTTTTTTGACCTTTTTAAAAGCATTTTTTAAATCAATTTGGGAAAATTAAAAGGGTTTTTGTTTTTTTTTTTACAATGAACCTTTTGAAAAATACAATGGAGGTATATTTT